TTAATATTACAATTATCGAAGAATGTCAAAAATGATCGAAAGAATTTTTTTTCTTTTTCTTGATTTTACGATTACTGATGTCATAACTGTAAAAAAAAAAAAAATTAAAAAAAAGCATATAACAAAACGATGAATTGTACTTTTTCAAATAGTAAATAAAACACGTTTATTATTAAAAAAAAAAAACAATAAATAAATAAAAAATGTTATTACTGTTACTCTGAAGTCGCTTCTATAAAAAAGAAGAGAAAAGTAATAAGTTTGTGAGTAATTATACCAACACATGATTCTTTATATATAGCTATTTTGATTATGTAATACGTTTCAAAAAAAAAAAAAAAAGAAAAAAGAAGAAAAGAAAAAAAAAGAAAATTTATTAATGGCCAGCACGTTTTTTGTTTGCTTTTTGTAAACCTTCCGTTATTTTATTTTATTTTATTTTTTTCTCTTTTCTTCGAATATACACGCGCGTCAGACACAACACACATATCGATATAGAGAGATGATGTATGAGAAAGAAGGGAAAGAGAAAGAGGCAAAATTCTCCTTTCTAAGTCCTCCAATTCTTCTCGCTCGTAAAACTATATAGTATACTGACATCATCTTACTGGAAATTCAGAATTTACTGGAAAGTATGAATTCATACGTGAATTTCCAATCAATTAGAATTCGATACATCGATTATATTATATTTGTCTTAACAACGTTTTTTTTATATAAACTTTATGAAACTTTTGTAACTTTTGTAATTAATATCGATATATTATATTACGAACGGTTAGAATTCGACAGATCAATTTATATATATATATATTAATTGTCTTAACGTTTTTCAATTAACTTATATTTTGTATTATTTTTAAGAAATAATAATCATATGAAATCATTAGAGCAAATATTTCTAATATTTTCCTTTTTTTTCGGAAACATTATTTGCTCTGTAAAAACAGAATTTGACTGTTTTTTGAACATTTTCAATCGAGCAGCAACTTATAATAATTTCTTTTTTTTGCATATAAATCTTATGACATAACTTCTGTAGTTAATATTTATATTTTTTGATCGATTAGAATTCAATAGGTCAATGTATATATATATGCATATATGCGTATATATTAATCATTTTAATGTTTTTTAATTAACTTATATTTTATTTAATTTATAGGAAATAATAATCACAAAATCACTTAAAAAAGTATTTCTAATATTCTTTTTATTTACTTTTTCGTTACAGGATAAATATAATATTATTTATATTCTATTATAGATTATATTCTATTATATTCTATTATATATTATATTATATGATATAACTTAAAATTATTATTCGTATTTTCTGATAGATTAAAATTCAATTGATTCATTTATATATATGTATACATAAATCGATTACTCGATAATATATTTTATATATATATATATTAATTATATATATAATAATAATGTGATTTACATACATTAAATATATTAGTATATAAAAATTTGATTTATATATATTAAATATTTTTATGTATTAAAATACTAATATATATATGTATATAATAATTATATATTTTATATATATTAATTGTCTTAATTTTTTTTTGTTGACATATTTTTAAAAATTAATAATCATATAAGATCATTTGAACAAATATTCTTAATATTTTTCTATCTTTTCTTCTCAGGAACATTATCTATTCTCTAAAAATAGAATTTATCTATTTTCCGTATATTTGTAATCGTGGTGCCACGTATGACAACATTTTTTTATATAAATCTTATGAAGTAACTTCTGTAAATAATATTCGTGTTGTTTGGTCGATTAGAATTTGATAGAGCAATTCATATATATATATATATATATATATATATATATATATATATATAATATGAATATATATATTATTATATAAATATATAAATATATAAATATATATAAATATTAAATATAAATATATAATTATATGTATATATATATATATATAAATATATATAAATTATCTTAACGTTTTTCTATCAATTTATATTTTGGAAAAAGAAATCCCACAAAATCATTAGAATAAATATTTCTAATACCATCCGATTTTTTTCGCAAACATTATTTATCCTATAAAAACAAAAATTGCTTGTTTTTTAATAAATTTTTAATCGAAGAACGACGTATAAGAATTTTTTTTTTTATATATATAAATCTTATGACGCAAGTTCTTTAATTAATAGCCATGTACAACCGGTCTGCCGTTTAAAAATTATACGTACTTCCTCTCTTATATCCAAAGAAAAATATTATTCTCGATATTTCATCAAATGTAATGATCATCATACACAATGGTCATTGGAGAATGCAATGAACTTCGATACGCTGAGATAACGCAATAAACGTGCGGGATCAAGGTCGGGACGAAGATTTTTTTTTTTAATTTTATCTGTAATCTTCGTAATGAGTTAAGATTCATTTATTACTAACGTCTATGAACATCAAATCATTTTCAATAATACATTCGAAAGAATGATGTAAATGATGTGCAACTTTATTTTATATTTCAATTATTATTTTAAACCCCTGATAAAAAAAAAAAATTTATTTAGAAGATCTTATCGTATAGTATGAAAAAAACAAAAAAGAGAACAAAAAAAAATATCAAATCATTATCGATTGCAACAACTTTAATAAAAGTATTTGCAAAAAATATTTTTCAGTAAGAGAATAAAATAAATAGCAGAACTAAAAATTCCACGTTACTAATTTATGTTTTGTTCATATAAAAAATTTTTTTCATCCGATTTGATTACATACAGACATTGTAATTCTAAAAAAATCTGCAACGCGTCAATTTCCGGCACGAAAATCCAAAGCAACATCCTATATTCTCGTAAAAACATAAAATTATTAAAATTTCAGTACTATCATGTGTAAAATGATAGTTGACGGTCATCGACAAATTTTTCTTTCTATTTCAATTTTTAATATCTTGTCAATAAGTTTAAAAATCTAAATTTTAGACAAAAAATTGATACTTCTTTTTTCATGGCCCAAATTTTTTGTTTTTCACGAATTAAAAAATTTGAGCCGATGTCACTTAGCTGTAACATTATTTTCCAAGACAATATTAGAATTTAAATAATTTCGTAACAGGAAGTTAGGATGCACCTTATGGAGCAGGGATTTTCCTACAGAGATTAACTACATGTAATCAAATTGAACGGAAATATTTTTTTTTTACATAAATAAAAATACCAAGGAATAACATGAAATTATTAGTTTTTCAATTTATTTTACTACTCTTCTGAAAAAAGAATTCTTTAAAAATATTAATATAAATACCGAAAAATATTAAATAAAATGCCGAAGAAAAGTAAAAATCAATCATTGGAGGCCGAGAACGAACTACAATAAAACATTTGTAATACTTTACGTAAATCATATAATATAATAAAAATTTATAAGATATTTAACGAGCCATCTTATAAAAAAAAAAAAAAAAAAAAAAATATCGTTCGATTTGTTTTAACAGGATAAGAAAGATAGGATCTCATAGATAATATTTATTTCGTAAACTCGGCAAATACATAGGTAGATCTATGATCGAATAATGATCGGGAATAGGATCGATCATATCAATCATCCATTTTTTCTTTCTTTCTTTTTTTTTTGCATCGATACAATAAACTTCTCTAAGAAGTATAATATAACAGCGAAATGATCGACTCTTTCGAATCGCTAAAATTATGAAGAAAGTTGCATTTATAAAGCGAGATATTGAGTATTAAAATATAAGAAGAGAACTTAATTTTGAGTTTACTAATACTGAAATTAATGTCTATATAATATACATATACATACATATATATATATCACCACAAAGTATGAAAATATTTCATATTACATAAATGAATATTTCCAAAGAATTCATTATACCGTTAGATTAAAGACAATAATTGTTTTTTGTTACTTCTATCTCTTCTTTTTTTTTTTTAATCAAATAAAGTAATTTCCTTCTTTTTTCTTTTGTACTATTTATTACTAAAGATATTTCAATTGCATTTATAAATAATTTATATTTTTTATTAAATTATTATTTCTGATCGCTTTATAAAAAAAAAGAGAACTCTCCAATCGTCGTATTTCCATTAAACCGTTATTAGATCTAACGGAAGATGAATCGATAAACACATATAATTATGTAAATATCAATATACAAATAATATCTATCTTAAAAATATTATTAAGAACACGAAAAAAGAATATACGAAGAGTTGAAACTACGATAGCTACGATAGGAATCATTTTTAATATTATCTCAAAAACATTAATTTCCAGCACGCAAAATAATTGACCTAATATCAGAAATATAGATCATCAAAAAACTTTCGATCATATGCCCGTATAGTCCTTATTATTGTCATTTTTGTTCTTCTTCAACAAAATATCTATTTGTTTATACACATATACAATCCGACGAAAGGTAATATTTGCAATTAGAATGAGAGAGAGAGTTTTCGAATATTTATATATATCTAGCATAACTACAATAATATTAATAATAATAATAAATCTACTCTGTACTAGAGGAATTCGTGCAATCACGAGAAAATTGACATCACACCTATCTTATCTCTCTTCTTCGATCTCTTACATCTTAAATAATATATAGAAGCGCAGAAAAGGACGCTTCTGAGAAATCAAATCTATAAATCAACGAATAAATAAAAAAACAAAAAGAGAAAACAAACAAATACTGACAGTACGTGATTGAATACTGAGTAAGTAATAATAAATCAATGAAACTCATTGAAATTGATTTAATAATGAAATAAAAGAGATTCGTATTGTTATACTGATAATGATAATAGAGGTAGACGAAAAAGTACTGCTTAGTTTGATAGAAAAAGTTTTTAAATTTCTATCAAACTCTAATTTCAGATTTAATTTAAATAATATGAAACCAATTAAGTCTTTAGAATTTAATCAAATTGAATAAAAATTAAAAAAAAAAGGAAATATTGATATTAACTTATAAATTCATTGATCTATTTGAATTACGCCTGGAAATAGGCAATCCTTCATACTAGGTCGATAATGTAAATAGCATGGTAAATATATATCCTCTACATTTTGAATTATGTTCATTGACAGAATAAGCTTCTCTATTACATATTTATATTTATATACATATATTATATTACTTTTTTATCTATCATCTTGAATATAAAAAAAAAGAATTAAATTCCTAATTCGAAAGCAATAATATTATCGACAAAGTATACTCTGTTGCCTATCTTTAGGCGTTTTATTTTTTTTTTTTTTCTTTAATTTTTATAGTAATTGATTTAAGAGAAAATTAATAAATAAAAATAATTGATTAATAATCATTTAAAACTGAACAATGAACTAATCGATGATATTATATCGAATATGTTCGTAACTCATCGAAATTAATACATTTTGAAATTTCGTTTGAAATAATTATTTATGCAAATAAAAACATTTTAGAATAATGAGATACGAACAAAGATTATCAACGTCAGTTATGATTATCATCGATATGTAATTAATGTTTCCCTTTAATTCTGACTCTTTCGATTTTTATGGCGTTGATATCCTTGAATTTCTAAATTGATGAAATCCTTTTTATGGTAATGGTGACTGGCCGATCTTTTCAGAAGACTTTTCCTCATTCACTTCGTTCTCTTTATTTTCCATGTGCTCGCGTTCGGTTTTGTGCACAAGCGCATAATTGTTTAAATATTCTACGACTTGCATGTGACCGAAATTTTTCGCCTCGTCTATTGGTCGTTTACCCCATCTATATAAAAAAATTTTTTGTAAACATAATTTGTGTATTATCAATGAAAAAAAGATTATAACAAAATTATAAAAATTTGCACAATTAGTAAATCTTAAATTTATTATTAATATTAAATTTAACTAATTAACTCTTACCTGTCTTTAGGATCATGAGGTACGTTGCATTGTTCGATCAAGAATTCAACGCAATCCAAATGACCTTCGCTAGCGGCCAAATGTAAAGCTGTCCTTCCGTCATAATCGGACAATGTCATGTCCATACCACTCAATCGATGTCTAACAATATTTAATAGAAATAAAATTAATATAATATTATTATTAATAATAATAATAATAATAATAATAATAATAATAATAATAATAATAATAATAATAATAATAATAATAATGAGAATGAGATAGATCAAATTTATGAGATGATACCTTCTCATTGCAGGAACATCACCACTGGCAGCACTGAAGAGAAGATTGACTATGGATAGGCCCTTCGTTTCGTACTTGTGCCTTCTCGGATCTTTCTTGTTGGTCGCGTGCTTCAGATTATCGTACCTATGATCATAGTAGCTACTACACTAATCGAGTGAGAAGGAGGAGTGCGAAGAACGAATCTCAACGGAAGGTCGTTGAGTTTTCATTCGGTCGGTCGTGTTGCCGATCGTGTGCCGGCGTCGTTCATTCATCGTTTTTGTTTGTCATTTCGTTTGGTATTATTTTGATTTTGCATTTTGGCGGGTGTACGCATGCGGGTTAGTGTACGGCGGGGTCGTGAAACAGAGAGGAAGACCAAGAAAAAAAAAACAAAGAAGGCACGTGTTATTATCAGCTGTGATTACTCTATCAATATCTTTAATAATAATATTATATATGAGCCCGTTTCTTTTTCTTTTCTTTTTTTCTTTTCAATTTTCATTTCAAATGTACATAGAGCCTATGAAAAAGGAAAAAAGGTGTCGATAGGATTGTTAGTAATGTGTTTATAAACTTTATGTTGCATCGAAGCATCTTAAAAAATTTATTTATGAATGATAAGTAGAAAATAAGATCGATCAAAAAGTATAACAAATGAATGAAATGACAAATGTTAAAATGTTAATAAATATCGTAAATATTCGATGAAATAATTAAATTAGACGATTCGTACGTACCTATGGAAATTAAACTCGGTCACGAGTTCTTCGCAAAATTGTACGCCTCGGCAAGAATTACCAAGAAGATCTAAAGGTGGCGACCACGTACAGATACCCATCACATTTGGTATAACTACAAGGAGACTTCCAGATACTCCAGATTTTGCTGGTATTCCAACCTACATATAATATAATAATAGAAAAGTAATCATAATGACGATGAAAAGGAAATAATAATAATAATAAAATAATATCTAACCTTGAATGCAAATTGACCACTGTAATCATACATTCCACAACTATGCATCAGACTAAGTACATCTCGAACGCTATCCGGTTTAAGGACCTTCTCTTCAGTAATAGGACATATACCACCGTTTGCTAATGTCGCCGCCATTACGGCCATAGTTTCGCAATTTGCTTCCATTGAACAGCACTACCAACAACAACGAGGAAAAAAGGTTTTATTTTTAAACGTTAAGCACAAATGGATATGTTCGATAATAAATATAACGTTCTTAATATTATATTATGGTATCTCTAATAAATGATATAAAACGACGATTTTCAAATATAATTAATAAACGAAAGAAAAATATGCCGGCAAATATGAATGAAGAAAAAAAAATATTCTTCCAGTAAAAAAAATTGTTTAATAATTATTCAAAAAAGAAATCGTCGTCTCATTCTATTAAAAATTCTTCGTTTTTAATAATTATAATAATTCTACTATATTAATATTATATATATTATGATACACACTTGAAAGTAAAAGTCCATGATCTCACGGAGATTCGTTTTATCTGGGTAACACTTGTGTTCTCTCATGTAAAAGCCGAGAGCATAATTTCTATCGGCAGCTTCACGTTCCGACAAGAAAACTGCATTGTTGAAACCAAAATTTTCATCTCCTGCCAATCTTTTGAAATAATTCATAGTAAAATCGAATTTCTCCGCCAATGTCATTTCGGGTTTTATGAGAGACTTCAAGAGCGAGCAAACTAATATAGCGCCGGCATTGATCATCGGATTATGCGGTTTTTCTGTATTAACAAATGAATTTTTTTTTCTTTACGTCCTCATTTGACTATTGTTATTATTAATCGATCGAATCACGTACAATTTGTAATATAAATAATTAGAAATTTTTTCGATTCGAGTATAGGTCGATATATAAATAAAAGAGATGTTAAACATTATAAAATAAAAATTTTACTCGAACCGTGAAAAATCCTTACTATTATAATCCAAAACGAGTTCGTTGAAATTCCTTCCCGATGGTTCTTGACCAACATACTGATGAACGACTTCTTGTCCTAGCCTATCCAAAGCTATCGCGTATGTTAATGGTTTACTGCAACTTTGTAACGTAAATGGAATTGAGGTATCTCCAATACTGAATCTTTGACCATCTATCGTACAAACTGAGACTCCCCAATAATCCGGGCTCATTCTTGCTAACTGTGGAATGTACGAAGCAACCTTGCCCTCTGTATTCGATTTACATTTCCAATAAAAATCTTCTATGTGTTTTGTGAAACCTTGCCAATCTGGAATAATGAACTGATGCCTGAATGCTCGTGATATTAACACTATGTTCGGATTTACGATTCTGAAATAACAAACAAAATAATAATAGATAATTATTAAAAATAATGGAGAACATGTCGATGCTCTATTTTGAGCTTCATTCATAAATTCATTTCAAAATAATGATTCTCAATGATTTTTGTAAAAGATTTTTTTTAAAAGTATCGATTATTATTTAAAACAAAATTATTAAATAACGAAGTTAAAAAATTATTTGCTTGAAAAAATTATTAGTATTAAAAATTTTTGGCGAAATCTGTATTAAAAATCATTTTTTTTGATCAGTAGTTTTATTAATTTATTATAATTATTACTAATTAATGATATGTATTTTGTAAAATAAATTATCAGTATAAATAATTAATCATGGTTACGTTAAAATTGAGTTAGAGTTATTTATATTACGTATTGATATTTTATTATAAATACTGACGATTTATATAAAATACTGGCTAAGTATTTAAAAATATTGATTTGCTAAATAGCAGCAATTAAAAATTCTGACATTAACTATTAATCGGTCCAAATATTTTGACAGATTATTGTACCTTCTAAATTGTTCCCTGTCTAATCTCTGCGTCTCGTATGACACACCTTCGTGTCCTCCACTTTTCGAATGTTCCTTCTTCAAATTGTCCGAAAATTCTTGAAGTCGAGGATCATTTTTTCTTAAACCGGTCGCCCTCAAAGCCTAGAAATTAACAAATGAATTACAATTTAATCAAAATGTTAAAATGTTAAAATATTAAAAATAAATAATTGGTTAATTTAAGATTATTCAATTTGTTAAACTTACAGCGAGAAACTTGCCAACCGAGAGAAGACCAGTTTCCTCATTTTTGAACATATCAAAGAGAACATCTTCAGCATTTGATGCATGATCTTGGTCTTTCGTGCTGTAAAAATATTTTTAATATTTTTATTTTATTAACTCGATCAAATTGTTATTATTACAAATTAAACCAATATAACTACATAAAAAGTATAAGTATTATCATTTCTATAATATTAATTTGCTTTCTATAAAACAAGGCATTATATAATACAAAATTAAAATTAAATACTATAAACTAGAATGAGCTACTAAAATCTGATAAATAATTTTAACGATCAATCATTTTGAGAATGAATATTATCAATCAATCATTTACTTTTCGTAATAAATACAAACATAACTCGATTCTCCAAACATGATATACACAGAGTGGTCGTAAATATACCACACGGTATTTGATTATTATTGAAAATATTCGTGTTGAGTCATGACTCGACATTTCAATACAAAAACAAATGAGATTTATTAAAGCACACCAAATGCACATATAAATGCTTCATAAAAAAAAAAAAGAAAATATTATAATTAATACTATCAAATAATATTTACAATTACATTTACAAATAAAAAAATGTTACATGAACATCAACTTCGTATTTTCTTTTTCTTTTTTTACTAATCAATGCAAATAATAAAAATATATCCCGTATTAAAAAAAGAAAAAGAAATAGAAGAAGCACGTTTAATTAGAAGATAAAATTAGTACTAAAAAAATAATAATAATAAATAAATAAATAAAAAAATAAATAAGTGAAAGCAGCGAAGACGACATGCATTGTACTCATGGTACTCACTACATGTAATGACTGTCATGAATGAAGCTGTATTCGCTGAAAAGAGAGAAGAAGAAACGGGAGAAAAATTTGATTAGTATACACATATACGAAATATTCGATTTAATTAGTTTTACCTAAGAAATCGTGCTAACACCATCGACGATTTTTCATTTTTCTTCTCTAACCATATCGAACAAGCGATCTTTGATCTTATCGAATAATCCATGTATGAATCAATATATTTTACCTTCAAATTTCGATCATTTACGTCGATATACGGCATGATTAAATATTTCGCACTTTTTCTTTGCAAAATAACAAAAAAAAAAAAGAAAAATGAAAGAAACTAATTCTAATTTTTCTAATATTTGTTTTCAATCGAAATCAATACAATATTAACAATATTAATAATGAGAAATAAGTCTGAGTACATTTTATAATAAAATAAAATGAATCATGATAAATCCAATTAATTTTTCTAATATGTCTTTCTCGATCACGATTAATAAAATAAATATAAAAAATTCTTGTGATATAAATGAAAGAAAGAAATAACGATTAATCTAATTGATTATTATATTATCATAAAATTACAAAAAAAAAAAAAATAAATTATTATGACATAATCTTTCTAATATAACCGATCATAATTAAAAAATACAAATAATAAAATTAATGCAAGATTCATTATTAATAACATAAACGTGATATTAATTTATACTAAAACGATATTGCTCATTTTATTTTAATTTAATTATTATTATTATTATTATTATTATTATTATTATTATTATTATTATTATTATTATTATTATTAATTATTATTATTATTATTATTATTATTATTATTATTATTATTATTATTATTATTATTATATTTTTTATTATTATATCTGAATTATTATTCAAAACGACACGCACAAAACATATTTCGTACGATCAATACCAGCACTGATCGAAAAATGAACTCTCCGATACTTGAAAATATTAAAAATAGGAAAAAGAAAAATAAATAGAAATTCTAAGCAACGTTAATCGACGTTAACTTTGAAAAGCAACTGGAGTTTCTGTCAAAATAACGTTTGAACTATCGAGTTTATATCCGATGAGGGACACGAATTTGAAAAACATACATAGAGCGTCACAAATGTCAATTACGGATTCGGTGTACCACCCGCGGATCTAGTGATAAATAAATTTAGTGATTAGCGTGATTAGAACTTCGATTGTTGTGTAACGTACATGTGGGTGAACATCTGTCTTGTCAGTTAACATCAAATTCTCAGAACGTTCAGAGTAATTCAAATCGACGATACTTCGTTTTTGTAAATCCTTTTTATTTTCCTTTAAGAAAAATCTCTCGTTTTATTTTTCTTTTTTTCCTTTCTTTATTTATTTATTTTATTTGCATGAACATCACACATGTGTTTCTTATGCAATAGTGCCATTGTGAAAAATTTTAATTCTCGTTCTAATTTTCGATGGAAATATTACTTTTTTGTTTGTTTAGAAAAAATCTTGCGCTTATTTTTTTTTCTTTTTATTTACTTATTTATTTATTTATTTATTATATTTGCACGAATATCACACGCGTGTTTCTTATGCAATCACATCATTATGAAAAGTTCTAATTCTCATTCTAATTTTCAAGGGAAATATTATTTTTCATTTATTATGTTTGAAATATTTCCCGAATCCTGAAATTTTTCTAAATATTTTAAAAAAATAAACAATTATTAATATTACATATTAAAGAAATTTAATGATAATAATTTGGACAAATTATCTAATAGACTTTAATATTATAGCGATATCATTTCAAATATTGATCAATAATCTCTAAAAAAAATGGCCAATTCAATTCGAATGAAATTTTAATAACTAATTAACAAACATTTATCAAGATATTTTCTATACAATATTAAACTGATAATAAATCATAAGAATCATTCTTCTTACCCATAAATCGAATAATTTCTTGCAAAAGTTATTTCGTTAAACGCAATTAAATCATCGATGTAATAACCGCCATATTCGTAATCGTTCATATTTTTTATTTTGTTATATTGTATTCCTTTTCTTATCAAAGTAAGATCTAAGAACGTTCGTTCCAATATACTCACTTCACTTTAATATAGTGACTATTTTGAAATAGTCCTCATAGAAACTACTTATAGAATTTATTTTAATAAAAAGTTATGACGTTCGAGGTTCATAGTTGTAATCGATAAATTGTTCTATATTGATTCAGATCAATAACAGATCGGTTAGAACTAATCGATCAATCGATTGCTTTTATTCTTCGATCGATAGAGATAATATTATGTAAATGTAATTAAATAATATTATGATAATCTATCTTTTTTCTCTTTTTCTGTTTTTTAGTAATATCTCTCAAAATTTTGAACGAAATAATAATTAATAAGTTATTTAAATAAATATTCTATTATATAGGTTGATTATAAATTAAGGATTAGTTGAATGTTTCCTTTGTTAGAGACAATAGAAATAAAAAAATATATTAAAAAATGTTTCGTCATCTGTTTTATCAAATATTTTAATAGTACAAATTAAAACACCAAATTTTCGATTAAACCGGAAGTTTAATAATTTTTAATTTTTTTTTATGGAACACCCTGTATCGTTTTATTATTATTGATATATTTAGATATTTTAATCAATTATCTTTTTAATTTGACAAAAATTATTAGACAAATATAAACCTAAAGTTAATAATTAACTAAATATTAACATGTGAAGTATATTATATAAACAGAAACAGTAATATTAATCTCAATGAGATTAAAATTTAGAAAAACTAGAACCGAAAATTATAAACATCATTAATTAACTAATATCTGAAATGTTACTAAAGTTAAGAAATATCACTACAGGACGTCGAATATGCAAACAAGACAATAGTGGACATTTCGAATAATTTATTGAATCAAAGAAGCTATTACTTTTATTAAAGTCTAAAGCTTTGGTTTTTAATTAAGTCTTAGTAAAGTAGTAACTAAACTTATTGATTGAAGATTGTTTTGTATGTTTTTCATTTTTTTATGGCCTCTTAAGATTGTTTACATTTTAATTGATCATATAATTATACACGTATTAATATCTCGTTAATTATTAACTTTATCCCTAAACTCGATTAATAATCTATTTAAAGATAATTGATTAAAATATCTAATTAATTAAAAAAATACAGGTTTTCACAAAAAAAATAAATAAGTAAAAAAAAATTAAAAATCATTAAATTTCCGGTTTAACTGAAAGTCGGGTATTTTATTTCGTACTATTACAATTATTAACACGAAATCACGAAACTTTTGTTAATATATATATATATATCCTTTTTTTTCTATTACTCCTAACAAACGAGATATTAAATTGGCCCTTAATTTACAATCAAACAGTATATTAAATATTGTTATAATTTTTTTTACCGTGTCTGAGCTCGTTCTAATTCTAAGCCATTTCCAAAAGTAACGTCCATGTATCTCAACGATCTCAACTTCTTCGATGTAGGCAAAGGTTGCAGCTGTTTCTAACATAAAAATACAAATGAATTTTTCAAATTTAAAAAAATAACAAATAAATCGTTAGAAAAATTTTAATTGTTGTCATTTATAATAAATCGCAATCAACGGATAAACTTGCTTTTAATAAAAATATAAATATAAAGAATATAAAATAAATAGAATACTATATACATCATATAGTATTATAATTTTTTCAATCTTCCAAATTATAAAAAAAAATTCCACTAACTTATTTCAAAATGGGTCACCCTATAAGTATATCAGTTTATGTCCACCCTTAAGCAGTTCATACAGTATAAATTTGTGGACATAGTATCGAGTTAAATTTCAAACAAACTTAACGAGTGTAATTCGAAAATATTTACAATTTATCGAACAAAAAATTAGATTCTATTTAAGTTTTAAATCGTTGTCAATCGTTTTAAAATTAGATTGAGAAAAATTAACAAATCCAATTAAATACACAATCCGATTTGTATTACGATCATTTACGAAATGTTATATTATTAAATTAATTTTTTTCTATTAATTTTTAATATTAATTTTTAATATTAATTTTTAAAAATAATAGGAAAAAAAAATATTCTTAAAAAAAGAGAAAAATTAAAATAATCTTAAAGATTTAAATAAAAGAGATCTGATTGGATCGTTATAAAATATTTTCGAAAAAGTGATTTTACGAAAAAGAATCCTTTTTCGAAAAAGCGATTGCTTTCTCTTGCACCATACAGCTTCGTATTGATCCTTTGATGAATCAACCCCCTGCCCCTTCTAATACTCTCCTTCTAATACTCTAAGCAGAAACCTGCCACGTGCCCTACAAATCAGATAGCGACTGAACGCACGCGAGCACGTGATTTTTTTTTATATACATGTGTATCTATATATTTACAAGAAAAAAAGAAATAAAATAATTAAAAAGACAAATAAGAATTCAATACAAATTCAAAAGAAAATAATATTCATTTCAAATAAACTTTTTGAGGTTTCATTTTTTTGTTATAATAGACATAAAAATAATTTACATATATATATTACATATATGTTTTGTATAATTGCATTTGCGCATTTGTACAGGATAATAATCACATAAAATGCTACTAGTTATTCTCTTTTCATATATGACTCATAAAAAATTCTCTTTTCATATATGACTTAGTATAGTAATATTGATTTAATAAAAAAATCAAAAAAGAATTCTAATTCTCCATTTAATTAATAGTAATTAAAATGAATCATTAGAACGACTTAATCAAATTGAAAGATTATAAGAAAAGTTTAGAAACTTATTAAACGAATCATGGATCTTTTCACGGTCGTTATCTATAACATTTAATCAATCGTCATTCGTGAGAAGTTGCAAAGATATTTTTGTCACTCAAAAGAGGCCACTGCCGTTGCCCACGTGGGCATTCGTAACGTAACAAACTCTAGTAAAAAGTAAAATTCTTTTTGTTTTTAAATAAATAAATCATATTTCTTAAAATCGTTCCAGATATTGTTATTATCATATCGAATTAGTATATCACTTAATATAATAGTATATTAATATATCGTGAAAATAAAATATTGACTTTTGTCAATAAATAATATTTGGACAATAATTAATTATTAGATTAATTATCAAACCAATTGTAAATCGTATAGTCCACATAAAATGTTACGACAATTTCGTAAATGTTACGAAACACTTAAGGGTGGTTCACATAAAGTGTTACGGATTATTCTCATTGAAATTCATATATATATACATTACATATACACGCGACACATGCGCACGCACGCATGGCAAGACATATAAAAATTCGTTTTATATGTTCATTGCTACAATTAACTCTCCTTTTATTTTAAATTTATATCTATAATGACTGACTAATACACTTCGTACACACTCTGCATATATTTCTTTTAATGCTATAAATTTTTCATTAAGACCATTTTTATAATTACTAATATTATTATTACATTAGAGACAAATATTTAAGATAGACAAATATTATAGAGACAAATATTTAAGATCTTTGGACTGTAAAATAGTATAAAAAGGAATTAATGGAATAATAAAAATGCAACAATAGTAACGATGAAACACTAACTTTTCATTTACAAAATAACATCCCTACACATCAATTAAAAATAGAACGATTTCCATAATACGTTTCCGATGAAAAGAAAAAAAATTTGTAAAGAAAGTAGGTCAGATGAACAGTTGCGGAAAATTTAAAAGATCAAAGAAGAAGAAAAGAAAGAAAAAGAAATTGTTCACCCTAACAATGGTTAGTGCAAAAATGCACCCTACATCCATAGATCGAATGATTTTTCGATACGAAGCAAATTGTTCGTATTTTATCAGAATAATAAAAAATGTATATAATGCAATCAATAAAATTTGAACGAAAATTGATTATCGCGAAAAATAAAAGAAATACATATTTCACAATGATAATGATTTAAACGGGAAAAAAGAGGACAAAAAATGCTCACTTTGAGGTATGTAATTGAATTAAAATTAATATTTGAAAAATTTTAAAAAAGACAAAAAAGCAAAAGGGAAAAGAGAAAAGAAAAGGGAAAAAAATGATCGTTTGTTCACCTTGCTGCTTGTATGAAGTCTCTTAAAGCCGGTACAGCCGGCTTTCACGAGTTTGAGCATTCTATTAGTGATTAGACGACTTAACGATCCGCTAAACTCTAATCTTGATATCCTAACCTCGTTATACTCTTTTTAACTTAAACACTATAGCGTTAAATAATCCTTTTCTGTATTATCTCTCGTTTCGTTCTTCCCACTTTTTTTCTTTTTTTTTTCTTTTTTTATGATTCAATTTAATAGATGCACGGCCTTTAAAGGCGCCGCACAAAGAGACGAACGACGTCCCTTAACGTTCGTTCGGTCGAATGAAAACTGTCGTAACAAGAGTGAAGAGGGTGGTGAGGGGGTTCTGCGGTTCGAAGGGACGCGGCGACGTAGACTTTTGTGACATGCGCAATGATTTACTCTAGTCTCTCATCCCCACTTCTTCTCATCCCCTTCGTGAACGATCGTGCCAATTCGTTTCTCGCGAAGTATCCCGGCCGTGATGCTAAAAATTATTCGATCGATCGAAGTTTATTGCGCTTTCCTTTCGAGAGTCGAGTTTCTCTGACACGATGATTTATTCCGTAAATTACGTATGATTTACATACATATACGTAAGTATGTATGTACATTAATCCATAAAAGACGGAATTAAAGAGTATACTATGTATGAGAGTGTTTGAAGTGAAATTATAGAGACAAATTGTGCTTTTCTACGATCAAATAAACGTAATTGAAGGATTTTTTTTTCTACAATCAATTTATAGTTTCTTTTTCATTTTCATTAGGCTTCTTTTCAGATTCGATCAATTCGTTTCATGTTTTTCTTTCTTTTTTTTTAACAAAAAATTTATCGAAATAATAATTGAAAAATTATCATAATTAAATTACTCTCATATATTTTTGTTGAAATGTAATTTTTTATAATGTATTATTAATTTTTTTTTTCTTAACTCGATATTGTTCCTTCCTTTTTTCTCCTCTTTTCTTTGATAAATTTGCTTAAGGTTAGAAATGTCAAGCACACCGAAATGATATTATTTAAATTTTACAAATTAGTAATCCCATTGTTGAACACTTATCGTTTATTGTCTTTCGATTATTATTATTTAATAATAATGATACATTGTACATTAAGAGAGCGAGGATTCGATAAATTTCATCGCTATTTATTGATGAACAATGAAGATCTTCGTAAAAATGCGAGTTATAAAAACACTTGCGACTTCCTAACCTTGATTACTTTTCTTTTTTTTTAATACGATATAAGTTAAAAAGACATTATATCTATTACAGACGGCATTTTTTCTGTTAAAAATAACGCTTAAGGTTATCAGTAAGGTACTTATAATTGTTCTTTCGAAAAAAGAAAGATAATAATACTTTTTAATGAATTTTTTTTCTCTCTCTTATCACCCCCAACTGTATCAACAATTATGAAAATGACCTGAATTAAAAGTCGTAAAAAAAAGTAAAAAAATGTAATTTGTCAATTATTTGGCATTACATTAATATTTACGTTAATAATGTAAATGAAATAATTAACAAACAAAAATAATATTAATAAAATATGACTTAGGTCAGTTTCATAATCATTAAGGTCAACTATATAAACACGTAGGAACGTGTATGTATGTATGTCACGTGTCGAACATATAACTACGTAGATACATATGCCTTATCAACGAAAGTTATTTTCTAAAATTATAGGGTTTCAATACTTCGTCTTAGTGCAGATCATTTACCATAATTGAGCGTAATTAGAGCTGTCGAAATTATTTTGATTAGTTAGGGTTATTTTCTTTTTTTTTTAAGAAGTGAGGTTATAATTTTATAACATTTCATCAAATTTCGTTTCTTATTATTAATTTAATTTAATCTATTTATATGCCTTGAGTATGTGAATTACGTTTAATTTTTGCAATATTTTTTTTCCTCTAATAAAACTTGTTTTTTAATTTTTTCTCTTTCTTTATTTGAACTTTGTGTACTTCAATAGTACTTAATTATTTTGATTTTTTAATCATTAGACAGCTCTAATTAAAAACAATATCAAAGTACACTTAATTATGTTCTTAAACGATTTAAAAATCAATAATGATGGATAAATAAATGTAATTTTAGGAACAAAATATTCCTAGTTTACTAGGAAATTGTTTACCCCCACCTCCCAAGAAAAAAGAAAAAAAAAAGAACAAAAGATTTGAACAATTAAATTTTGAAATAATTAAATGTAGATATCTTAAATAAGCATATAACTTACATATATATACCGATATTTAATACTTTGGTGTTTATATCTCTACGTTCTCTACTACAACTTGCTACATATATTGTATTACAGTTGCATAACATTACCGAGTGCATAATTATTAATGTCGTTACGTGCATATGTATATTATAAATGTATGTATGCATTTGTATTTTCATATAAAACAAACATATTTTTAATATTTTTGATTGACATTTGTAAAAATATTCAGTCAAAGACTGAATTACTTTTTTTTATTGCACGCTACTAGTGATAATTTTTCTTTTGTTTATTATCCTTATGTTTATTATTATTATTATTATTATCATTATTATTATTATAATATCTATATAGATAATCGCCTAGTTTTAATAATTAAATTTGTCAATTGGAAGACTATGTTTATAATTAAAACGTGCATGCTCACGTTTTTGGATATGTATATGTGAGTTTTTGTCCTTTTTTCTCTTTTCCTTATTTATTTTATTTTCTTTTAAAAATTTCAATGAAAATATTGCATATTGAAAGAATAATCAAATGATTGTCTTCTTTGATTACTTTTGTGAGAGATTATTTCCTCTTTTTTTTTTATTTACAGATGACTTAAGAGGTGCAATGTTTTGATTTAATGCATAATATATATATAATAAAAATTGTTAACTTTCATTCACAACGAATAAGATTATAGCCATTCTCAAGAATAGAAATGATAACGAGAATGTTTAGAGAAATATTTTCTAAATTACAATAATGGCTGTGTCGTTAAATTCGCTGATAAAAATAATATACGTTGATAGTATATTGTACTAATATGCATATATCCCTAGTGGTGTAAAATTTTCAATGTTTCTAAAACCTGAGATTCAAGGCATGATGTCGGTAAATATATATGTATATATATTGAGTAAACCTATAAAAACAGGATTGTTCCAATATTTTTTATTATTTATTATAAAAGATTGAGATTACCTGTTTTATATAGATTACTCTGTATAATATATAAATTGTTTGAAGTTAGGATTACAATTTGTGAATATCAAAAAATAAAAAATTGTTCTGTTAAATAAAAATTTAGAAATCTTTTCTTTTGTTTCCAAAATAGATAAGAGTATAAAGTTCATACATTTAAATAAGTATTTTTGTGTAAAACGATACAAATCTGCCATAAGATAATTTATAATATTTTGAAATTCGCAAGTTATTATCCTAACTTCTCAAAAACATAAATTGCTAAAAAGAAAAAAGAGCCTGATTCAACAGCAACGCACAATAAAGAGTTTGCTTAAAAGTCTTAAATAAAATCTGTACAAAGTCTATTCCTCTTGTGTCAGTCCGTATCAAAGTAAAGCTTTAAAAATCATCAAAATGATAAAAAAAACTAGCCTTCTCATTTTCAATGAGGAACAAAAAAAAATGGATGCTAGGCTTCTATTAGGACATTATTAAAATATCATATCACTGTATCCTGATACGCTGGTGGTCCACTAAGAACAAATTGTCTTTGACTTTGCCTAACAATATCGGTCCTGCTAGGTACCTGAGGTGTAGCCCTGACACCATGATAATTGCTATAACTTGATCTAGCACTAGCAGGCCGATTGCTATACAAATCTTCAAGATCTTCGCCATTCAAGCTTTGAGTACTAGTTTGTTGAAAAGTTGGATTGCTCTGACCTTGCCAATGCATAGTATTCAGATCATTTTCTTGCCAATTGTCAGTGAGATTTCTCGTTGAGCTACTTCCATCCCAAATAGGGAGATTCTGATTGGAATAATTACTTGTGTTCGAATAATTGTTACTATCCTGTCCAGTCCAAAGCGTTGGCGAAGAGACAGCCATGTTCACAGCTTCTGGCTGCCAATTAGAATTTCTATCTCTGTCCCAACTTACTGAAATCCTATCATAATTCAATGTTCCTTGAGACAAAGAGTTTACGTTTTGATTGGTTAAATTACTTGGTGCTGTATTAGCATAAAGACTCTCCTGATGGTCCATTATCCGATTAACTGGATTCTTTCGACGGGATTGTCTGACTGAACTTCTTCGACTGGATCGACGTGTACCATCTCGTGATATCACAGAACGTCTCTTAACTCTTCGAGGTGTCATTGGCTTAGGTGATACACTATCGTCATGTACAGGAGGCTCTGGTTGAGAATACTCGATGCTATACAACGGCCGAGGCTGCTTTTTCTTCTTCTTCTTAATTTGTACTGTCGGAGAAAACAAAAAGACAAAAGAAATAACATAGAGTGACTTAGAGATAAATAGAAAAAGAAAGATGTATTTGAGTCTATCATATTAATCTATCGATATTATCGATATTAATTATTGACAAAATTGATTTTGTTATAAACAAATATAAATCTCTATCATGATAATATATTTGTAAATTAATTGATATTACAAAACTTTTTTTTTACGGTATTTCTTTCTTGGCTATTCACGTATGTTATTCATACATGTCAGTAATTATAAAAATGACCTAGAAAAATTGAATTTTTAAATTAATTTTATTATATTATATCATATCATATTATATATTATATTGAAAAACAACTTAGACTACTTTCATAATCACTAACTCATATGTATTGTAAAATACATTCCAACACACCCATTGTTAATTAAGAATTATTGATGTCACATATTTTTTAAAAATAATTTTCCCTTGCAAAAATAAAAATATATTACTTATAATAATGTACCCAAGATTATTTCTGAAAAGTGATTACCCAAAAAGCTACACAGCCACACAAAATTCTATAAGATTTCCCATAAACCAATCAACCAACCAACCGTAGAGAGAAGGAAGATGTTAGAAAAAGGAAAAAGAAGAAAAATGAAGGGGTTAATAAATAAAAAAGCAAGCAATAGTAACATTGCACATTTATTGTCACTAATAAACTGCATCAAAAAGATCAATGCAATACAGTCAAAATAATAATACAAAACTAATTCCTACGTTCTTAAAAAATTATGCATTATTTATTTTTCTTTTTTGCAAAATAAAGTGACAAGAAAACTTGTACTTTTCTACGCAGGACAATAAAGAATCCAATTCAATATATATATATATATATATTGATCTGAAAACATTACATATACAGCAATGATTATAGTCCGATTTTCGTAAATCTTTTCTATTCATTATTTATTATAATAAATTCTAATTAACTTTTTTATTTCTTTCATCATATTTAATATAATTTTCATCTATCAAAGGAATGAATTCGTATGATAATGTATGAGTAAAAATAAAATAAAAAAGAAACAAAAAAATAAAAAATAAAAGAAAAATATCATGCAGAACCGAGTCAAAAGTATATTCATCATTCAAATTTCATATGTTATAATTCATAACATTTTTGTTCAATAAGATGTATTGATTTTTTTATATGCATCGTTATAATTTTTATATACTTGAATTAAGAAATTTTATAAGAATATATAGAAATTAATTATTTTCGAAACGTTCGAAGATGAAATCATGATGAGACCAACTACCATGCACTACTAAACATACTTAAATATTTATAGTTTTCCATAGCACCACATAGTAACCAAACGTTCAATGCTATAAGTAATAAGCTAATAAAATGCAGTCCAAAATATAATAAAAAACAAATAAACATATTGCTTGAGAAAAGTGATGTTTGAGAAACCTATATCTTATTAATTGTAGGTATAATAGTAAAAAAAAATATTCATTATTATTATTATAATATAGTAATAATGATAAAAAAGTACAACGGGACGACTTCATCATTATTTTGCACATACTGCAGAAAAAAATTCATTAGAAAAACAAATTAAACAAAATTCTCATCCTAAATTCTAATGTCAGGTATTTTTCTGCACATGTGCAAAGTTATACAAAAATTGTGCTCCAATTATTAGTTTAACGTTTGAAATCTGATTATTTTTTTGTACCAACGCATACTTCATAGAGCCATATAATGACTAATCATCTATCTATCACAGTGTACGTATCATAAATTTATCGATGAGAAATAATAATAATAATAATAAAGTAAATGTCGTATACATATTTAAAAAGCCCTGAACAACTGTGAAGTTAGTATGTATGTATGTGTATAAATTAAACGCAGCTAACGATTAATTTAATTAAAGTTAAAATCAACAATTAACACAACTTATATTCATAGATATTAGATCAGTCCATCTTTACGTAAAACATGAAAAATATTAACTATAAATCATTATGGTGAAGCTATAAACCACAAAACGAGATAATTTCAGGGAAATGGAAGTTATTATGAAAGGAAGTGGCACTTTAACTAGCTACACTAATCGTTTCGTGTATTTGGCAAGTATAGGAATTTTATGTTACATTTTCATATCCCAAAAAAGTGGCAGTATAAAGCAAAGCAAAACTTTAAATCAAAACAAGTTTCTCTTGCAAAAAGTATTTCTTATAAAATCTTTCTGAAATTTCATTTATAATCGAAGAAATTTCATTCTATCTCTGTTTTATATTTTCATATTTTTACGTGTGTATATATATATGTTTGTATATATATATATATATATATATATATATATATATATATATATATATATATATATATATATATATATATATATATTATATACATATATATGTATACATGTATATAAAAAAAGATAAGTTTCTTTTTTCAATAATTATTCCTTAAACAATATATTCTAATATTTTTTTACTCTAAAAATTACTTGCACATAACGATAGAGGTCTACTTTCTCTTTTAGATTTATTTGGTCTGTCATGATTATTCATACTTTGATGACGATCAATGGCCAATTTTGGATCAGAGTAAAATGATCTTAAAGGCTGTTCACGGATATGATCTGTAAAAATTCTAGGTTTGCTAGGTGTCCTGGTTGGTTTTCCATGACTTGATTGAGTTTTACATTTAGTAGTTGTAACAGAAACATACTTTGAAGAATGTGGATAATACAATTTATTCTTTTGATATTTTAATCTTGCCGCACTATCCAAAGAATCATATTCATCATATGGTGAAATAGGTCTTTGAAGATGATCTAAAGGATTCGAATAATCGGTCGAATATTCCACGTTTTTCATATCGTTATTGGATAGATTACTTCTATTACTTATGATAGTATCATCTCTGTTACTATTTTTACTATTACTGATACTATTAAATGATTTGTCATTTCTTTTTGGAAAAGTTGTATCTCGATAACCAGATTGGTGTGAGCTAGTTGTGCCTGCAGGATAATCTTGATTGGAATTTTTATATGGATGAGAAGGTGGTGGAAGTGCCGAATAACTAACATACATAGGATGCAACTGTGTGTGGCCTGCCAACCCAAAGTCATCACCGCCAACAAAGTCAACTGAAATATATCATTTAGAATCGATAATGTTAGAGTAAATTTGCTGGATAGATTCGGGCGAAGTTTTTACCTTTAAAACTTAAAAGATATAAGTGATACAACTGTGATGAAATGGTAAAAATTTCGAAATTTTTATTTATTCAATTTTTTCAAAATTAAAATAAGTCTGTCCCACTGATGTATTTTTATTGAATAATAGTAACTACCTAATATTTTCAATAACAAGACAACAAGAATTCTTTTCCATGCTGAAATTACTGATAAAATTTTTTCGAATATGGCAATTTAATACATCAAATAAATATTACAATTTTATAAGCTGCAGAAAGTTATTTCTTACTACTCTTGTACATTCCAACTAAAAAGTGTATATTGAAAATCAAAGAAATATATAACAAAACTACGTTTCAAAAATCTTGTATTTTACAACAGAGTCAATCGTGCCGAAACGAGCAAATGAATAAATGCGTGCAAATTGTGTATGAGGCAAAGCACTTACCAGAATGGGGGATCAAATCCACCAATGAAATCAACTGTAATTAATAACCTTTTTTTCAAGCAATAATAAATGATCTGATAAGCTTAAATTATTAATAACTAGCAGAAATAGTTTACTGCAGCTTTTAATTATGACAATTTATATTCCATAAGGATGAGTATACAGATTTTAAAGCTACCATTATTTAACAATTTGTATTTTATACCTGAATCCTATTAAACTGTATTAGAAATTTAAATGCATGATAATATCATCATAAAAATATATTCCTATGTATTACCTATTCTATCTCTTTATTTTTATGTAGTGTGAAGTATAAAAAAATAGATTATAAACTAGTAAATAAATATAAACAAATTTTTTTTACATAAATTAATACTTACAGCTATCATCTTCTTCTAAAAAGACCTTACTTAGACAAATCCCTCCTATAATTGCCATTAACTGAAACATTCGAATATAAATTACTAAATACGAAAATGATATCATTTGTTATACATCATACTCTATAAATAGTATCAAAGACACGTGTAAACAAAGCTATATATAACATACACATACCCCTAAAAGACATTGTGTAGATGCATGTAGGATTTCTACTACTTCATAATCCAGTACACAATCCGTCACATTACTGGGACGTGCTGGCCTGAATAATTCTGGTTCAGTAACATCATATACAGCTTTACAACCAGGTCCATTTACATGCCACCAGGAAAAACTACCGGTACCAAGATTTAAAATATCACTATTCTGAAAAAACAAATATTTGTTATAATCAAAATCTATGAATCCAATTATTTAACTTTAACTTACTTACTTTATCCAGTACTCCTATACTGAGATAAAAACATATCATAAATATGTTCCACCCTAACCAAAGTGTGTTCCATATACAATACTGAAATAAAAAAAAAGAATAAGTATTCGTTAATTAAAGCAAATTATCTGTTCTATTAATTTGTGATTGCATTCCTTTAAATAATATTATTAAATAATTAAATAATGTCTACGAACCGATATGATATATTTAGGTCTGTATTGAAAGCTCCCAAAAAATCCAAGAATAACAAATATTATGTTAAAAAAATTGACCAGTATCGGGGCCCACATAAACCCCAGAAAGTCGAAAACTTGACGCTCTACAGTGGTAATCTGTAAATAAACAAAAACTTTATGATCAAATACAAAAGAAGTAGTAATAACAAATTAAAGTATCTTATGATAATATGCCAATTGCTTAGATTCTACTCATTTCCTTTTATTCTTAATCTGTGCCAATTGTCTTGTGTTCCAAATACTTTGTTGATTGGTCATTCTCTGTTAGAACTTGTAACACTTATATATGTGTATTAAGTTAAAGAGATAAAACGTTAAAGATATTTAAAGATTATTCTATTTTCTTTTTTCTTGTTCTAAAGATTACATATCAATTCTAAATATAAATGTATCTACATATCAATTTCTTCTAAAATCTTAGAATAACGTTATAAAAAATATGATATCAAATTATTGCAATAAAAATAAATCGTTAAATTGATCCATCATCAAGAACTTCGATGCTGCAAGTGAAAGCTTCATCTAAAAAAAAAAAAGAAAGAGTAGCCTAGTTCCATCTATATATATATATATATATATATATATATGTATATATATATATACATAATAATAATACTTTCGCGTGTGCAAAGCAACTTATCATAATAGAATAACATAGAAAGATAAACCAAGAAACTGAGGTCGATAAAATGATAAAATGACTAATCTACAAAGTCGGTAGTACCAACTCAACTCTATCGTAGCGTCGATTACTAGAAAAGAAAAATGTATACTATTCTCGAGTAAAACGAAATAAGAAAGAAAAAAGAAAGAGCACTGGTCTGTGCATGATGAAGATAGCGATCGGTCATTTCGATGAAAGAAAGATGAGATAAAAACAAGAATATCTATATTTTTAAGATTCGTAATCCGTAAAAAAAACGCATGACTCAGTTAGAAAAACGTGTTGCATGTATCCTTTCTCATATATGTGATGTGTGTGTGTGTGTATGTGTGTACATTACGTGCATATAGGTACATAAGTACGTAAAGTACGTTATTAGTATATATACGTATGTGTGTACGTGATGATCAAGAGACTACTGTAATGCACCTGAGATGTCCGTTGTGCATTTCCGTTTATATAGCTAACACTGAATATATACTTACAAGTTGCAGAATGCATATCGTCAATAGAAAGTGTCTCCTACTGCAAATTCCCATGTCATTTGACCAAACGATCGTTGTACTTTTTCTTCTTCTTTTTTCTTTCTTTTCTTTTTTTTTTGTTTTCCTCGTTTTCCTTTTTTCGACAAAACCGTCACAATTTTGGGAATTCACTCGACAAATGGCAATGGTTTTCTTACACCAGACGTAGACCGCATATCGTACCGCAATTTTAATGCTTCGTTGTACACAGTGGTGGCACGTTTCGATACGACGCCATGTTAACTTCCGAAATGATATACTCCTCACTCTTTTCTTTCTCGCGAACGACTGGCTGCCTCGGCGCGCAATGACACGCATCGCTTCATCCCGTCGTCCGGGCAACCGACTTTATTATTCCTCTCGTGCGACCGACCAATCAACTAGCACCGAACGAGTTCCTTCCTGCGTAGTAATTTGCTGCGCAACTGGATCCGTGTGACGTATTAATATTGTGACTTAAAGCAAGAATTCAAATGTTGCGATCAAATTTTAATAAAACGACCTTATTTAACAACAAGGATATGATAGGAATTAAAATAAAATATTTATTATGTTTATAAATATGTATCGAAACATATTCTAAATTTATAAAAAAGAGATAATCAAAAATAGAGAAAAAAAGAAAAAACATAAGTACCACGAATTAAATTAGAATTTAAGTCTCCTTGTCCATTGTGAACATTTCATGCTAATATATTTTTCTCTACTAACTTTTAAAAAACAATAATACGCACGCATATTCTATAATATAATAATATTGTTCAATTTGTCATAGGAATGACGATCGAGATCGAATAGATATATTTCTGATTTCAAAGTGCTAATGTCAATTTACTATCCTCTACATATATATATGTGAACGAATGGCATTTTGTGAATATTTAGATGCTCTATGAGATGTGGCTCTTAAAAGGGACACGCGAACAGATTGTCAATCGTAAAATCTCGTTCTCAGCTTACGAGATATATTTACGAGATCATTATTAATTATAACGAATAAAAGTGTCTTCAAAAGAAAAAATTGAAAACTGGACGCTAATAGCGTTCACACGATAACCCTATTGAGAAAATTTTATATACCGCATTTGTATTTCTTTCTGTGCTCTCATATATTCAAAAAAGGTAATCGAATTGTTATATATACATATATTTTATGAATGTAACCCAAAATTTAATGAATTTAATTTTTACACATTTGCTTAATTAGGTTGTTTTCATAATTATTAATACATTTCACGAGACTCGTGACGTTTGTATCAATAATTCTCAATTATTCATTTTTTCAAAAAATTATTATTCTTATTTATTTACGTCTTATATCACAACAACGTATGAAAACTGTTGATATACGTAATTTACACGTTTTTACAAATCTTCTCTTTTATCTTGCATATGTAGTATCATTACAATCAAGAATAAAACACTATTTCTTACTCTTAATGTATATAGAAGAGTGCATGCACCAGTTGTCTACGAAGAATGAGAACGGATGCCTTTCTTGTTACTATATTAAACATTATTTGGACAGTGGAGATTCGCAAAATTATCAAAGGCGCTAAAATTTAATATAGAAAATTCTTATAGTTTATGGAAAACTGAGAGAAATTTCGAGACAAAGCTCGCAAAACGTTTTAACGCTTACACCCAAACTTCTAGGAAACGTAAAGGAAAACGTGCTAATTTTAATAAAGGAGGTAAAATTTTATAAAAAATATTTTAATAATTTTTTATTTTAATAAATAATTTAATATTTTAATAAATATAAAAATATAAAATATTTAAATTATATATATATATTTATATATATATTTGTATTATATATATATATTTATATATATATTTGTATTATGTATATATTATATATAAATATAATGATAAAATATAAAAAAAATAAAAATATAAAAGATTTTAATTTTATAATTGTGTATATATGTCTATACATATACGCATAATTATAAAATAAAAATTTTTTTATAAGATTTTACCTTCTTTGTTAAAATTACCACGTATATATAATCTACATCAATAAACGATGTTTATATTTCAGTAGCGCCATTACAGTGATATAAAAAATGATTGATATAAAACGTTACAACGTATTTTCTTCGTCACTGTCAGAGATATAATAATAAATTATAATAATAAATTATTATAATTATTTTATTTAATGGAGTGTGATTCTGATTCATATTTAATTTATAAACATTTATATAAATGTTTTTTTTATGAAACAAAGTACTTGTTAACTTTTACAAAAAAAAAGATTGTAGTTATAGAAAAATATTTCTAAGATATATATTTTTTACTTTTGGTGCGTTTTATGTAAAAATATCAATTACAATATTATTTAAAAAAAATGAATTCATTACAGGTACGGCTCGTTTAAGGTGCAGAGAGGGCACGTTTCGCGTGCATAAAATTTATGGAGATGGAAATTGCATGTTCCGTGCGCTCAGTTATATTCTTTGGCAAAATGAAGAAGAACATCAATATTTACGTAACACGGTTAGCTAGTACAAATATAATTGCTTCTTCTTTATATACACGATGTCTCAGAATAAGTAGAAAATATATTCAAGGGTAGTTTTATTCCAAGTATCGAAAAATTAAAAAAAAGTTCATATAAACATATGTCATATTTGATTTTGTTTTCGTGTTTATAACGAATTATTGTTATCGCAATAATTCTTTTATTATACGGACGTAGTGTCAGTATACTTCAACTGAAATTCTAGATAATTTCTGAACAATTGATTTCTAAAGAAATGGATAGGCCATGGATCAGTTTTATTACCTTGGCTGGCCGCTCATCGGACTTACAATTAAATCTAATCAATTTTTTTTAACTCGTAGAGTTATTTGAAATCCATTGTGTACAAAACGGCCATTATCGGTGTTGAAACTCTTCAGTGTGCAAGAAATGAACATTGATAAAACGTCGGCAGGCTTCTACTCAAATGCGAGGAATTTATTTCGAATCATTTTTTATGAAAATAAACAGATAAAGCTTGTTGAAAATCAAATTTGCTATAAGCTCGAAAACAAGATTAAATAGTACATACAAGCATGTATGAACTGTTATCATTCTTTAATTGTTTTGATGCGCTACAGCCCATCTCTAAAATATTTCTTACTTTTATATGATATAAGTGACATAAATCATTTTTCTACGGAAAATAATAATAAAAGATTATAAATGCATATGAATTATTTTATTAAATATAAAGAAAATTTTTTTTGTGTGTCATTCAAATAATATCATAAAAAAAAAAATTAATTATTCATTTGCATTTCTAAAAAGAAATAAAAGAAAAAAGAAAAAATTTTTGGACAAATAAAGAAAAATATTAGATATTAATTAAATGAATTATATTGTAGGTTGCTAAATATATAAAGAATAATTGGCACGAGTATGGTGCTTTTGTAATGGCCGAATGGAATATATCAAATCCTGAAGAATATTATGAGCATATGAGAATGGTTGGGACGTTTGCAAGCGAGCTCGAATGTACGGTAGCAACGAAGCTTCATCATATGAATCTTTCCATCTATCGTGAGATCGAAGGCAAAGATGAATTGGAACGTGTTTTTCACAGTCATGTTGACTATTATTACGAGACTGCGAGGTTGCTCTTCACCGGACTTTCAGAAAGTGGTCATTATGATGTTTTACTCAACGATTAACTATATATTTTTTTTTAGAGAATTTTTCTTTTTTTATTATTATATATATGTGTGAAAGGGGAGAAATAAAACATTTTCGATGTTCAGCCTTTTACTTTATATATATATATATATATATATATATATATATATATATAATACAAGTCATACCATGTATACAAATAATTCGATAATATAACAATACTTTCCTATAATTATTTTTTTATAATTGTTTATTTTGTAAAGAAAACAAAAATATTAATTTTTATAATAATAAAATAAAACAATAAAATATTTTCTACAAATGAAAATATTTTGTCATTTATGAATGGTACAGTTTTCGAGAAGAAAAATTTATGTTCTTATAGAATATTTTATATTTAAGTTATGAAATATAAATTACATGAATTGATAACGAAAATCGTTATTGTACATCAATTGTCATTATCCATAAATAAATTATAAATAGAATACTTTGTAAATTGAAATATTTTAAAAAGTCCAATAATTATTTGTTTAACATTCAACAATTAACCGATAATTTGTTATAAATATTAAAAAAAAAAAAGCAAAAATTATGTAAATACAGAAAGTTTCATTATCGACAAACGATCATCGTTGACTAAATTATTCTGCATAAATTAATACAAAACAAATTTAAAAATGCATTCACATCCTCATACTTCCTTCTAATCCTCATGAATTTATGTCAAATATTTGTTTCTAATTTTATTAATTTTAAAAACTGCTCCTATTAACGTAGTTGCATTCTAACCTCTTTAAGTCCTATACCATCGTGTTATCGTCGTTATAATATTGTAAATTACACAGCTAAAATAAAAATATTTTTATATCATTTTAGAAAAAAAATAAATAAACATTATTTTTAGATACTAAAAACATTCTTTGATCGTCTTTTTTTCTTTTTAACATGTACATTCTATGTCATAATATGAAAGAAATGGCGAAAGAAAATTTTTTCAAAAATATAGCATGCAAATAAATAAATTTTATATAAATGAAATAATAAAAATTGTAATACTTTGTCTAACCTTATTCGATAGAACAAAGGCGAACACCAACCAATGTTTAAACTCGACTGATCTCTTCTGACAGCTTCGACAATGTCTTTTGCAACTCGTTGCTCGCCCTGTCTTATCGACCTATAAATGATATATTAGAAAGTCAACAATAATTTTTTATAGTAATAAATAAATTTATTTTCTACCTGTTTTTTGTCGTAGGTGCAACCGCAAGAAATGTGAAATTATTGACGCAATTACTTAATTCTCGACCCAAACACTCCATCAGATCTGTTATCATATAAATCATGTGAAGAATTGTGTAATTTGAAATAATTTTATAGATTACAACAGAGTTATTCATTTTCTATTATCTTTTTTTTTTTATTTAAGTAATTATTTAATAAAAATAAAGCTTATAATAATTTATAAATAACATTTATTTAAATTAAGATCTACTAAATTGTAATATTTGTGTTGTATATTTTAAAAGCTAATTGCATTCATAGTTATTAAGGAATATTAATTAAATTCATAGTAAAATAGAGAAAAATATACGTACTAGCTATAGCAGTTCTAGAACCTATATAAGCATCTTCGTTCGATACGACAGGCATTACTCCAACTATATGAACTCGTTCTCGATTTAACATTGAAGGTAAGAATGCCAATATAGTCTGTAGAAATGAACAATAACATCAATTTCTTATAAAATATAAGAAAAATATCTTTTTATTTTTATTGTAAATTTTTTTACACCGTTGATCATTTCGAAAATAATTGGTATAATATTAGGACCGGAAAGTAATGTCGTTTCTGCGCATGTCGATATTTGATTGTGATTAAAAATAAAAACTTGTTAAAAATGTATTCGTTTGAATTTAATTTAAGAAAGCGACATTACTTTCCGATCCCCCTAATATAATCGATTATATATTATCATTTTATTTATTTATGCTATTTATCATTTGCCGACATTATTATTTATCATCTGTCGATAAAAAATATTTAACTTAAGTGATAAAAATATTTTAATTAATATTATTTTTTTTATCGATAGATGATATTCGCAAGATAATGATAACAATCTAATTTTAAAATACTTATTGACAAATAAGTATTTTACTACATAAAATGAACTTTGATCTGTTATGAATGATATCAAAGTACATTAAATAACTCTCATCTGGAAAAACAAGACTTATTTATATTCAATGGCAATTATTGGTAAGATTTCCGTCTAAGAAACATTAGCATATGTATATTACAGAATATAGATAAAATTTCTATTTACAGACAATATTTATAACATTTAGAATGGATTTAATATTTAATAAACTTTAATAATTAAATGAATTTAATATTTTAATAGAAACAAAAAGAGATATTTATATTTAGACGCAACATTTTATTGTTAAAATATTATATATTAAAAGATGTACAAAGAAGACATTTTTTTTGTTATCTCCATCAATTTTGAAAGCATTTGGAACACTTATTAAAAAGTCGAAACAAATTAGAAATTTTACAATTATCTAAACATATTACGGAATAATATTAAAAAATTTGAATGATCATAACAAAAGGAATCATAGTTGCAATAAAGTAATTTTTTTTACAAATCATGAATATACATTATGAAGGTAGTATAAGAAATTGTAAAAAGTGACATAAATATTTCAATTATGCTTACCCAATAATGGCTCATCAAGGTTGTATTAGCAGTGTCAAAAATATCCTGACCCGCTGCACCAACGCATGTTACTAAAATATCAATACCGCCAATTTCGTTTTTAACCTTTTTTGCTATATCGTGGATATTATTATGATTCAATAAGTTGCATTGATATGCTATAATCCTTGGACTTCTCCGAGATGCGTCCTGTTTTTCTTGGCTTGTTCTAATGTCTCCTTTTAAGTCTGAATAACGAAATTGGAGATCTGATGCTATTTGTTGTACGGAATCATTAATCTCGTCCACACAGATAACTGAGCATCCTCTCTTTGCAAATTCATCGGCTAAAGAAGCACCTAACGATGACGCTGCTCCTACTATCTAAAAATTTATTAAATAATTAAATAAATAAATTACTCGAATTATTTGATATTAAATTCTTTATACTAAATATTTACTTTGATTTGATCGTTTTAAAAACGGAGAATTATTTCATTATTATAATCGGTTGATTTTTTTTTTCTTATCTTTTTTTTTTTTACAATAATTTGTTGCGATTTTATTTATCAATTATTTTTATATGTTGTTTATCGATAAACTAACCAATGAATAATCAAATAATAATAATTACTATGAATTTGTTATTAATTTACCAGAACAACATTTCCGGTGAGATCTCTTGGTGGCTTTGGTAACACAGACTTAATCAAATTCAGTATACTTATGAAGCATGAGATTGCAATTGCAATTAGGAACTCAATACTGAGGTAAAAAAGTAACTTCACCGAAGGAAGTCCAATGTTCGTTTTATCTACCAGTGTTCCATCTTTTTCTGACACCATTACCGAATCTAAAAAAAATCCATTTTGATTAATTTCTATTAATTTCTTCTTTCATGCTTTTTATACAAGTTTTTCATATCAACTTGATTTATGTATACACACATTTTTTATAATATTATTAATTTAATATTAATCATTAAAAAGAAATTGACATTAAAAAGAAATGAACATTTTTTTTAATATTCTCACTATATAACTTCGGTATTTTTTTTGTTTTCTTTTTTTTGTAACTTATAAAGACACAAAAAGTACCCTCTTGTTATAAAAGATCACAAAAAAAGAACAAAAAAAAAAATAAATAAATATAAAAATAAATTTTAAAAATATATTCTATAAATTTCTATTTATCGGGTAAATCACAAAATACGTGATCAACTTACAATTAGATTGTTCTATTGTTATTGGACTGATCGAAAATTTATTTCTCTGATAAAATGCGAAATATAACACGGTTTAAAAAGAATTTTAAAATGATTGGTATAGTATAGTAAATTATTGATTCTTTTTTTTTTGGAGTTTTCCAAATCATTAACAGTTTTCTTTAGACAAATCTATAATTTCCTTGTTGTTTATCTTTCAACGGATATTGAAAGAAATTCTGTAAATATCATAACGAATATTGTTTTTTTTCATCTCATCAACCGAAAAAACATTGAAAAATTACTTTTTACTTTAATTAAAAGACGATATTCAATGTGGTATCCATCAGTTATAATAGACTTCAGTAAATGACAAATATATGATTGTTTAAGTCTTTCTATGGCATATCCATTGATAGCTAAATATGCGTTTATAAATATCTCTTGTATATCTTCCGGCTATGTTGAAGTTTTCGATATCATATGATGTGTTTCATAATGTACAGAAAGAAATGTTTACAAATGGTAACAGTGAAAGATCAAATCAATGACGACTAATATTAATATATAAACAATTCAAAGTCTACGAAATCATAGCACATACGATATTCTTTAATATACAATCACACAAAATTCTTTCAACTATGTATGTATAGGATATTTGTTTTAATGTTTCTTTTATTTGGATGGAAAAAGAAAAATAAAAGAAAACAAAAAAAAATATTTATTAATTAATATTTATTATCTTCGAGCTAAATTCGTCTTAATATCTGTTAAAAGATAGATATAAAGAAAAAAAAAGAGAAATTATAGGTTCGTCTATAAAAGATTGAAGGACGATCTTGAAAATTCATCATCTTTAATTAAGATAAGATAATAAAAAAAAAAAGAATCTTCACGCAATCGTCCTATTGATATGTTGTGGACTTTCAGGATTTTTGAAATTCCTGTCGAATTCGAAATTGATATTTCCGTTGTTCAAGACCAATAGTTTAAAGAAAGTTATATAAGTTTACGTTTATTTCTCATTTATTTGTTTGTCAATAAAACGATCAAATAATTGACGTGTTATAGTATATGTAAATTCTATTGATGATCATCATTTTTTCGTTAAGTGCCTTTTTTCTTTTTATTTTGATTAATTTTCTTTTTTTTTTTTTGGTTGATCATCCATACGTGATCACGTTATTTTAATTTGTTTCGTCTAAGCCTTTTTTATTATCTCGGAATTATTACGCTTATTCAGCTATTACACGTGACGTAAGCACTCGTAAACGTACACGTTTACGACTATACATCTTGCTTTAGTTTTATATTTCGAAATGTGTATTTTATTAGGATATAATTACCGAATACTATATTAAATTGGACTATAACGTAACAGCTGAATAATTTGAGTTAATTACGTTTCTTGGTTCACCCGATATATTGATATAGAATTTTATATAGTTGTTATTAAATAATGAATATTTATTAATAAAATAAATTAATAAAAAAAAGGAAAAAGTAAAAGATATTTTTTCTTTTTTTTTCTTTTTTCCTGTTTTTTTTCCCCGAACCTAGTTTCATTTTTCTTTTTCTTTCTTTTTTTTTCTATCTTTTGAAGGAATTAAATATTTAAATATTATTGGAATAATTTTGTCAAAAATGATATACTGTATTAGGTCAATGAATTCGATCCATAACTATAATTAATTTTGTGAAAGGATAAGAGAAACCGGCTTCGAAGAAAAGTGCATATGTACATTAGATGACTATGAGTTTATGTTTTAGAAATCGCAAGTTAATATGTAAAAATAATAGAAAAAGGGAGAGAGAGAAAGGAATAACAAAGAGCACCAGATATATTATACAAGTTCCTACTACGATATCCAACTCTTACGTTAACGATTTCAAGATTTCAACCCGATATGATCGATAGACGTTCTGCATTAGAAATTAGTTTTATTTTTTCCTTATTATTGCGTAACGAAACTCGTTAAACTTTTTATTTCGTTTTTTTATGTCATTTTTTTTTCCTCTAATCAATAATATTCGAATTATTTTATACACAGGATGTTTATGACATTATTACTAATAATTATTTTTCTAGTATCAATTAATTTGCAATATTTATAATAGATTCTTATTGGATATATTAAATTTTAAGATTTTATTTGTAAAAAAAAGAAAAAAAATTTTTTAAATAAAATTAATATAGTAAAAATCCTATTAAAAATGTCGCCAAGTTACTTTAATTTTTCAAAATTTCTTACAAATTTTGTAAATTGATTTAAAGTATTGAAAATTCATTCTCATCTATTTTCTTTTTCTAATGTGAAATACTAAGTTTTATTATATAAATATAAAATCAAAAGAATATCTGGAGATATTTATTTTCATTTGGAAAATTATATAATCTTATTATAAATATGAATGTTGTGGTTTAGTGCAATCGTGTTGTTCATTGAACAAGAATTCGTTTTAATCACTATATTGAAGTAAGCATGAGTTAGCAATATATTCATTTTTTAATTTTTTTATTACTAATTTTCTTTATAAAAATAAATCTGCGTTACTTATCACGAGATACTTTATACACAACCTCGTTTTTTTTCATAATTGTACCATTGGCATAATTAAAATGCATATTATACTTTTGACAACAGTAATAAAATAATTCATATGTAAAGCATGATTTTAAAACAATGCAATTAATTTTTATTAATTCGATCATTAAATGAAAAAATTTCAATGAGATTATTTATTTACTTTTAGAAATGCACAAGTGAAAAATGTTAATATTTTACAATCGATTTTTTAAAAAACAAAAAATTTGTTCGATTTGAATTAATTTAAAAAAAGTTTTGAATGATTATTTTATAAACTCAAATTTGAAAATTAAATTATAAAATTATTATATTATTAATAATGGAATAATTGTAATATTACATTTTATAATTAAAAGCTAAACTAACTTGTTTTAGATTTTTTATTGCTTTAATAAAAATCTATCCATACCGGTTTTACTACATAACGATCTGAAAACTTCACACGTATCAGTTCGTTATTATAATGGCTTTTTTGTATTTTGTATTTTGTATTTGTTATGAACTTTGAGACATCAAAATGAATATATTGAAAAATGATTTTTGCTATTTACAATTTAATTTATTTACAATTTAACAATTAAATTTTACAATTAAATTATGAATTTTCTAATTTTTAATGAAAATTAATTTCTGATAGTATTCTCATACTTAAGTGTAATTATTAATAATACAAATATATCAATCGATTAATTTAGATTTTTCAATATTTGTCAAAAGATTTTGCATAAAAGTGATTTATTCAATGAGATATAGCAAATCGAAAACGTGTTAATTTCAATAATATGAAAAAAAAAAAACAAAATGATTTAAATATATGCAAATAATAAAACTGGTAAAATAAAAATGTAACTTCTCATCTAAATTCATATAATTTATCAAAATAAAAGTGGTTAACATAAATGAATATTTGAACGTATTATTAAATTTTTATTGCGAATTATTATGAATTAATTTTCTCCCCAAATTCAACATAAAAATAATTTTTATCTTTTCGATCAATTATTTACAAATTTATAAGATTTTTTTTTTAACTATAGCATAATAATAATTTTTTTTCTGTAGAATTTCTGATTTAGAAATTATCCAAAAAATTATTTTAACTAATAATAATTTTTAAAAATATTATTAGTTAAAATTTTCTTTTTTTATTATAGCATGTTGATATGAATAGCATTCTATTAAAAAAATATATATTTTGTTTCCAGAAGAAAATAATACAATATTATGGTACATTAATAATAACTAGGAAAAAGGAAGTAATTTTAAAATCTGTCATTTAAGATGACTATGTAATTTCTAATCTTAATATTACAAGTAGCAAGTAAACGACTTTCTATAAATTTGTATAAATCGATCATAATTAGGTAACATATTTATTTTTAAAATAATTCTGAGATTTTCCAAATAATTTATAAAATAATTATAATAAATCATTATCAACGGAGATATACCCTTAATGATTGATCGAATATAACGTATCTGATCGATAATTTATGTATATAAATGATATTTATGGATATGGAAAACTTTGATTCGAAGTCATTACTTTTTATATTTATTTTTTATCTGTGACATTTAAAATTCTAATATAAATATTAATAATTATCGGACATAATTTACTGTAATCTCTTCGATCCATATTTTCTTTTTTCTCAATTTATTCATTTCTTTTAATGATCTCCAAATATTTAGAAAAATATTTAGCAAAATAATCTATCTTAATTAATATAATTAAATATTTTATTTTTACATTTTTTTTTCAATTTCTTTTTACGTTTCTTTTAACATTATGTAACACAATGGAATAATATGTTGTTATTGCAGAGAACAACAAAAACATAATATATATCTAGTATATCTAGTATTCCTTTTTCCTTCTGTTTTTTTAACATGATAAAAACAACAAATTGAAATGAATATTATACTACTAATGAACAGGGAGTATTAGATAAACAAATGTTATGAAATTATTGTCTCTATTTGTAATGAAAATTAATGCAAGTGTACATCTAACGAAATTAATAATCTATTTAAAAAAGAAAATAAGCTTCATTATAAAACATAGTTTGAAAGATAAACAAATAACTACGAAATTTCGTTCCAACGAAAATTAAATTATGTATTTTCATTAATAAGAAAATAAAAATTGCATACCTATATTCATTCTTTTATAATGAAAAGTAACGTTTTCTTCTAATATGGAACAATTGAATTACTGAAAAAAAAGAAAATTAAAAATAATTGTTAATTAATTTATTAGATATTAAACACAAATGAATTTTTTAATCGACGATATTTTTTCAAGAACGTAGAAATTCATAATTTCGTAAATAAAAATGTTATAGTAATTCGTTTCGAAACTACCGATTTAATTTCACAAATTCGTAATTTTTATCGCTAATTTATAATAATGTAAATTGAAAATAAATATTTCATTCATTATTGCTTGTATATTACTGATATATATTATTCATTCAATTATAGAATAAAAATTAAACAAAGACAATTCGTTTTCAATTATCATCTGGTTGCAATAAAAATTATTTAAAAAAAAAAAATTACGATACCGTTAATTAAACAAATAACAAATATTAATCATTTTTTTAAACAGTCGATAATTCTAATTTTACAACAATAGTTACCGTTAACAAAATAAATGCACACAGTCTAACGGACACTGTAAAGTCACGAACAGAAATAAGAAAATTTATAAATATTAATTAAATAAAGTAAATATCACAAAAATTTTTAATCACACGCACTACACATAATAATAATAATTTTGTTTCACTAATAAAAACATAATCTATAATTATTAAAAATGGGAACGAAAATTGTTCAGAATCAGTCGATCGTTTCTGTCAGGTTGCTTTGCTCGCTTGAACTTGACTGAACAGTGATTTCGCGTTCAGTGTGCTTACCTACGAAAGCAAACCTAACCTGAGTCAAGGTCATTCGTAACGTATTCATTATTGCTGCCTTTTTGTTTCTCATCATCATAAATTCATGCTAAATGCAAAAAGAACTTTTTATTCTCTTAAACGTTTTCTTTCCTTTTTCCATTTTTTTTTTCTTATTTTTTGTCTTTATTTCTTTATTTTAATTTATCTACTTTGATATTTATTTATTCGTTGTCACACATTTATAGGAAGTTAGAAAATTTTTATAGGAAGCGAATTAAATGTTATTTTAATACAAATATGAAATATCTGAAATTAATTAATTAAAATTAAAAATGACAAAATTAATATTATCTATTTTTTACTTATACAATAAATGTTTATATTAAATATATAATATGTGTTCGTGAATTGATGATTACTATAATAATCTAATGTAAATCATATATTTCATTTATGTAACAAAAAAAAATGAGTGATAAATTTAATTTACTCATATTTTTGATTTTGATATAAATATGATTTTTATAATATTACTGAAATATAATTAAAAATTATATTATAATACTATAATTATATAATAATTATGTGATATCATAATAATATGATATTTTATTTTATTATTAATAATACGATATTATATTTCTATTCTCTTTTTTAATTTTTTATTACATAAAATTTTCACATTATTAATTAATTTTTGTTAATTAATAAAATAAACATTCCTTAACTCTCCTCTAAAGTAAGCGAAAAATTCTCATTTTTGATCCTAAATAACTATTACCAAATACACGTAAGTATGTCTACATTATCTATAGTCGGTAAGTATTTCTATCGACAATCCTTTATTTGCCAAAAGTATTTAAATGATTTACTTCTTCTTACTATCTTGACTCACGAGATTTGCCGTTGTTGAAAAGTTCAAACGAGTCACAAATGTTTGCTATAAAATTCATGAGAAAGCTTTCTCAGATACTTACAATATGTACACAATTATGCAACGCGAATGCATACGAAACTTTTTATAATCTTTAATGGAAACTTAATAAAAAGTAAAAAAAAAAACAAGGAAGAAGACAAATTCATACAATTTCAAATTCGTTCACATTTCATATTTTTGCATAAGATATTATATAATGTTTATCGTATCGAACGATATTGTATCTTGAAGAAAAATCGATGATCAAAAAAAATCAATTGCAAGTATCAACGTTATTCCCCGACATTAAATATTTGAAGTGTCTTCGAAAAATACATTTTCTGCGAGATGAAAAAACATGCTCGCACGTTCGCACGAGTCATTCTAAAGGTATTTGACCTCATACAAAAGTCAACGTTGTAGTCTTTCCGAGACCTTGAAATGATATCTTTGAAATGTAGCATCTTAAAACTTTCTATTTATTTATACATGAGATATCTACGTATAAAAATTATACGCCCACACACACACACACACACATATACACATATTAAATTATTAAAATTTACAAATTGAAACGAATTTTAAAATTCGATTCTTTCATTATTTTTAACTTACTTATCGTTAATATCTTTTATTATTATAATGATCAAAAATAATAAAAATCGGCGTGCAATTCATCAAAACATTTGATAAATTTATATTTATCCGTCAATCGTAAAAACATCGTAAACAATTTTCTTTAACGATCTTATTTAACGCAAAACAAATAAATGATCCTTTCCTAGAACTTATCGTTCAATATAATCACCGTTTTTACGATAGAAAAGTCGTGGAATAAGATAAGAAAAAGTTTCAATTAATTTAAATTAGAGATCAAAAAACACATCATAAATCATTATGGCGTGTTATTTTGTTATTCTATGACGTGTATATTTTTTAACGATATATATCAAGTTTAAGACGAATAATATCAAGTTTTATTTATAGACATCAGTTAGTCTTTTCAAAAACTACATTTAGAAAAATTAACTTTACATATATATGATTAAAATATTATTAGAAATTAATCGATAAATATTTCATATAATGGGTAATTTACGAGAATGTTCGTGATTTCAAATGATATAAAAAAATATATAGAGACGAAAGAATTATTTTATATAGCTTAAATAAATCTACAGATATTGAAGAATTATAATGTAATATAACAGTTAATCTTATTGTAAATTCAAACGAAACACGTTTTGATTGTATCGATATTTTAATAAATCCGGCATCAACTGATTATAATATTTGTAAATAGTTCGATTTTTGATCGTACACTCAACTTCCTTATTTTTTGTTTTCTTTTATTTCCTCGAACAAATTAACATCGACTGGTCCTGATCAATACCGCGTTTGTCAATAAAATAATTAAATAATTTGAATATGTTTACGGAAATATCGTTATTTTATTATATCCGTTTTTTTATCGAACCATTGTATGAGTTTTTTTACTGACAAAATCGAATGTCAAAGATTACCGAATCAAGAAAGAACAGTGTCATATAAAAAATACACATATGAAACATATGTATTTGTAAAGAAAAAAAAAGAAAAAAATGCCACCGAAAATAAAATAAATCGATTAAAGCTGTTGACCATTCTTGTTTTAATAACAGTTTATGCTAACGATGAGAGTAGGCGTAATTCTTGATCGATCTTGATGAGCATTGTTTCGTTTTAAAGATGAAGATTTAATCTAGGAGCTGACTTTTTTAGAATTTCTTCGAAAAAAAGTTGTGTTAAAAAATGTCATTTTTCTCGAGAATAGTTTATTCGCAGATATAAAGCTTTTTCAAAAATTCGAAATTTAAAGCGATTTCAATTTGGTATCAAATACGAAATGAGTAGTTAAATGTCTCCATACGGAATAAGAATCCCCACTATAAAATGTATACCAATCAATTGGCGATGTTCCTGAATGCTAGATGAACATATTATACATTGCTCAATGACTGATGGCTTGGCAAATATTTTTCTTTGATTCAATCGAAATTAGATTATCAATACGTAGCATTCTTTAAATATCCCCATATAAAAATTTATTTGCAGATTAAATTATTTGACAATGGAGAATATATGGCTCCAGAAAAAATAAATCCAAGACTGTCGAAACCAAATATAAGGCCAAATTTCGAAAAATAATGTTACATAAAATGTAATTTTACATGTATGTAATATTACATGTAATAAAAACAGGTCTTTATATATAGAGTTTTTATATAATTAAATATTAAATCGGAGCACAATATACGCCAAACTATTAGATGTAATCAATATCGTCGAGTAATATCTAATATATTCATAAATGTTCAGGAGTGTCTTCAACAGATAACTATAATAAATATTTCCTCTAGTGTACATTTGCAGAATCATTCAAAATCACAGACGTTTACGTGGCCCACCCTTTATATTAAAATATAATAATTTAATGTTAAAAAATGTTTACTGTACCTGTTAAAATGATTAATTGGTTAATTGATTCTACATTTTTTAATTATTTTTTTATTTGTTTAAATTCTATCTATATATTCATTAATTCGTAAAGTTAAAAATTGTACTTTTATGAACAATAATAAAAAAAAAAAATAATAATAATAATAAAACAAGAAAGAATAACAGCATTTTAATAACGCAATTAATATCGTTCCGGAATAATCAGGAAGAATTAATTTTCGACGTGGTACAACGTTCTTTCAATTCGCTTTTGATCGACGTTCGCGAGAAAATCAAGAATCAGTCGCATAGCTGACTCAGGAAGAATCCTAAAAGAAAAGAAAAAAAGAAAAACAGAAAGAAAAAGAGAAAGAAAAATAAATAAAGAAAAATATTACGCTTTGATAAATGGAGTTGTCGAGAGAAAAACCTGTTTATGGCGTTCAGGGAGAGAAGACATCGTGGTATAGAATATTCCGTGTAATTTTTTCTAATGGCTTTAATAATTTCACGAGCTACGTATTCCGATGGGACGACTCCGAAAATGTAAGGAAATCTGTAAATAATAAATCGTGAATTCATTTTCAATGAAATAATTTTAAAAAACGATTTTACATTATTCATATTCGATCCATTCGCAAAGAAATATTTTTATTTTAATAATTAAATTTCTGGATTGTTATTAAAAAAAGAACAAAAAAACAAACAAACAAACAAAAATAAAACCATCGATTTTTCATACATTACGCGAATTTAACAATCAAAGTGAACAGAGAAAGTTCCACGGCTTTAAATGCTGTAACGTGACATGCACGAAATTATTTCATAAGTACTTTACAGACCTATTCATTAAAAACATATCACGTTGATATTTATAAATGTCCATATAAACGATATACAATAAGAAAATAAGAAAATAATACAAAACATTATAATATAGAAAATATAAACTATAATATAGAAAACTAACAAATTAATGTAACATTCAATTTCATGAACTTATATATCAAATTGATAAATTAATTATATATAGAAAATTTCATACAAAAAAAATATATATATATTTATTAATTTTAAATATGTTTTAATATAACCTATACTTAGGATCTTTTGCTAATCCTGTGTCAACGTAAAACGGATAAATCGTTGTGAAATGTATGTCAAGTTTTTTAGGATTCATTCTCACTTCTTCGTATAGAGCTTCCATTAGACCTTTTGTCAGAAAAAGAAATAAAAAAGTTTTTAGTTTTATGTACGTAAGTGATTTTATTTTCAAGATCGTATTCAAATTTAACTAACTATATATTTACCTCTAACAGCAAATTTCGAGGCACAGTAAGGGACTTTTTGCGATACTCCACATATTCCACACATACTGTTTATAGCTACGATGTGACCTCTACCTCGTTGTAACATTGATGGAAGTATTGTTTCTATCGTCTTTATAAAATCAAAATATAATTTTAATAAAAAATGTTTAATCAAAATAATTCTTTATAATTCTTCATTAATCAATACAATGTTGTTTACCACAGGATCATTATTAATTTGTTACATATATTTTCATTTATTAATTTCTTAGAATTATTTATAAAAATTTGGGAAGGTTTAACTGTGGAGATAGGCAATATTGTAAAGGATGGCCACTAAAAGACTGAATGATATAAAATAAAAATAACTTTTACAAACACGTTGTTTTAATTTTTTATTATTGCTGGACATTATACGTAGCTATTTTAATCTCTAAAGAGTGCTATATAACCAATAAAAAAAGAAAATAAAGAAGATTGAAAATGAATAAATTATGACTTTTTCAAATCCTTCAGTCTTTTGCTGACGCAAAAACAGTCTTTCAATATAAGCAAAAAATTCAATAGCTTCCGATAATAGTTTATATAAACAGTTTTTTACCAATGCATTATTCAACGTTATTAATGATATATAAAATGTTCTTGCTTCAATTAAATTTGTATCTTTCTTGTGATTTCGAAATTATCATACTTATAGAAAATGTAACAAACTTGTACTAATTTTTTTTTCTATAAAATCTTACCCAAAAATGCGATAAAACGTTGACATTAAATGTCCGTTCAATTTCATCGGAATTATGATTGAGAAGTGAACGATGATACAATACGGCCGTATTATTAATTAGAATGGTAATTTCCGGTATTCCAACTTTCCTCATCATTCGTATCGTCTCACGTACTTCCAATCTCTTCGAAACATCAACGATGAAACCGTAGACCTAAACAATTTCTTTAAATTCGATATCATGTTTCAAGAATTTTTGAAAATATTACAACCTCTCCGCCATTTTTTGATACGGCAGACATCGTCGATCGATTTGCATCTATATCTACGTCCCAACAGATTACTATGCAACCCATTAAGCCTAATTGAATCGCTAATTCTCGACCAATACCATGGCCAGCACCGGTAATCTTATAAAATGCACAAAAAAAATGAAATTAAGAAATAACCTATTAAAATAAATTATTTACAAAAATAAACAATTTATGGAAATACTTATCCATTAATTTTTGCTATTATGATCAATAGTGATAATTGACAAAAGTATTAAAAAAGCTTAATATATATAAATATATATATATATATATAGAGAGAGAGAGAGAGAGAGAAAGAGAGAGAGAAAGAGAGAGAGAGAGAGAGAGAGAGAGAGAAGGGAAAATATATTCTTTACTAAAACTGTTTCTCCGATTAAATTCTTCATAGTGGTAGGTATAACGACCTTGAACGATGCAACCATCATTGCCAGAGTTATTTTCATCGACAATACGATCAAGTCTAAGATGACTCGTGGAAAAGTGAAGGATCGAAAAATATTCTTTATCTTCCATTTTCTATAAGATTAATATAAAAACATTCTGTATAATGAGCTTCTACAAAAAAATTTCTTTCAGAGCTTACCTATTATTCACGTCATGTGGGATCGAATCGATATCTGTTTTTAATGAAACCATGAGTTTTCTTTTCTCTTATTTAACGTATCAGTTTTTGATTCTTTGCATGTTACGTTAATAATTTCAAAACAACTGATAACGATGTTAAACGGTCCCTTCATTACGTTCGTCTTCTATTTTTTTTATATGGTATATACCATGATTAATGTCAATGTAGAATAAACATATTATCCATCGAGTTTTCAAGTCGTATGCTTTTTTCTCGTCTCACTATGATGAATAATCGTTGGATTACAAGATTAAGATCATCTAAACCAAATAATTTTTTTACAAAATGGAAAATTCTCTTTTGGAAAGATATACTTATAAGAAAGCATAGCATGCTCATCACCATTTTGGAAATTGTAATACCTATTATTTTTTGTTTACAAATTCGATTGATATTTCAACCATTACCTCTTCATATAAAGGTTCGATATATCTCATAATTTCTTTTTTTATAATTAACTGAATTTTTATTTATTATACTATTCAAGGAATTAGATATGTATACGAAAAAGGACATAATTGATAAATTACCACATGATGTAGAATATTGGTATGCGCCACAAAATGATTTTACTGACGATTTGATGTCACGTTCTTCACGTATACTCAATATAAAAAGTATACTTTTTATATAGAATAATAATCATAATAATAAACATGAATATTTTATTATTTTAAAAATTATTCGTAAAGCTATTAGATTTTACATTCTTTTCTTCATAGTACAACCAGCTGACAGTGAAAAGAATCTTATTATGTTGCATTATTCAAAAAATATATCTACCAAAGCATTATGGGCAATCTTTGAAGTAAACAAAGATGGACGACCGAATACTTTAAATTACAAAATTCGTTCCTCAGAGATCGGCGAAAGTAAACTTATGATGCACGATAAAGAACCGTCTTATAAAGGTGAAATCTCAATTTTTTTTTTAAATTTCGTTCATTGGATCTATGATAATACTGTTGGTTAACTATTAAGAGAAATCTATTTTAACCTATCTTAACATAGATCCTTACATCTGGAGCGGTTTCATGGCATTTCAAATGGCAATTGAAAATTCTTTTATCGATATGTGGAAAAATTCACAAATTTCTCCTATAGGAGAAAACGTATGTATTTCTATTTCTGATTTATTAGGTTCATAACAATTATTAATTAATTGATAGATTTAAACAAAGTTTCATCCTAACCTCTTACTTTATAGTTGACAATAACTCGTTATCCTTATTATAAGATTGATTTTCTTATAATACAAAGTATCGTTTATCCGAATATTAATGTTATTTATTACATGACTGTGATAGCTTTTCTTCTTTTACCAATGGCAAGTCTGCAGAAAATGATTCACGACAAAGAAACTGGTTTCAGAGTGAGTTTTTAATATGAGAATTTTATAATGATTATTATAAAAGGATAACTTTCTTTTATTTTTTAGGGTCTTATGAGATTAACAAATATGTCATTTACCGTCATGTATCTTGGTTGGTTAAATTATTTGATGATTTCTTGTCTGCCAGTCGGAATAGCATGTACCATATTACTCTGTCCAATATTCATGAATTCTTATTTAATAACGATTTTTCTTTTTATTACCATGTATATTATTCTCTCGACATTAGTTGTCTTTGCTGTTGGAACTTTCTTTCAATATTGTAAGTCATATTATCATTTAAAAGAGAATTTATCAATCAACAAGAATCAAATATCTTAACAGCAATGAAAGCGATATTGATATCACTCTCAATTTGGGTATTCCTATCTTATTTTACTATTGTTTTGGATCAATTCTTGGTAACAGCTTCTCTGACTTGGCGTATTGTATCATTGATTTTACCACATAGTGGTTTACTTTATGGAATTGTGGCATTCATATCTGGAGCAGAAATTGGTAATAATATAATAATAAAAAAAATATTTAATTATAAATAAAATTATAATATTTATTAAAGTTTCAAAAATATTGCTAATTTTATTTGTTCTTCTATATCAGATAAATATTTATTAAATTCATTGAAAGAATCTTTAATTATCAATGACACTCAGTCATACATTAATTTATCATCCCCAATATCGACAAGGGAAATCTCTGAGACAACAAACAATGAATACGAAATTATTTATATAAAAGAGAAAATATCTATTTATATAGTTTTGATATCTTGGATTCTGCATATTATTTTTTGGTTATGTCTTACAATATATTTAGATAACATTAATCCTGGTCAATATTGGAGTGCTAAACCATGGTACTTTTTATGTAAGGTAGAACAAGTTACATACATTATCTGAAACTTCGTAACACTATTTGTTTACTCATTATTATTTTAATATATAATTTTGTCACATTAGAGAGCTCATCCAAAAAATATATATTACAAGTATAAATTACAAGGTTCCACAAATTGGTCAGCTGTGGAAAGAATCCCATCCTTCATAAAGGTATTTATAAAGCATACAATATGATATAAAAATATTTCCAAAAATTCTTTGTTATAACTAAAGTTTTCTCGTATTAAAATAGTCATCAATCTTAGTACGATGTGCCACTAAAAAATTCGGTACATTTGGCAATAGTTCTACAATTCTGAACGAAGTTACCATTGATTTTTATCAAAATGAATTCAGTGTAATACTTGGAAACAATGGTTCTGGAAAGAGCACTCTATTAAAACTTATAACAGGTAATAGTTTATAAATATTTAGCTAATAAAACCTTGATCCTACAGAGTATATACTCTATTTAATACATATAGGAATATATAGTCTTACGGATGGTGGTATTTATGTGCAAGGAAGAGATTTCAATGAGGATATAAATATCACAAATTTCTTTGGTTATTGTCCTCAAGAGAATATTTTAGTCAATTATATGACAACTGTTGAGCATCTCTACATATTTGGAATGGTAAATATATTTTGTATATATTTGTATTAATCATATTTTCTTTCTAAGAATTAATATTTTAATTAATTCTGAACAGATGAAAGGAATGACATATAAAGATGCTTATGCCAATGCGTTGGAATTATTAAAAAAACTTAGATTAGAGTCTGTGAAGAATAAAAAATTAAAAGATTTATCTAATGGCATGCAAAGACGTATTTGTCTGGGAATGGCCTTAATTGGAGAGTCTCAAGTATTCAAGAAAAAGAAATGAATGATTAATTTCTAAAATATTAATCACATTAATTGTTATCAATTTTGTGATATTATTTAAGATACTAATATTGGATGAGCCAGCTAATGGAGTTGATTCGGAAGACAGAAGACAAATTTGGGATTTGCTATTGGTAAGCAAATCCTATATATAGATTGGCTTTCACTTATATTACGTGATAGTGGTAACTGTAGGACATCAAAAGAACGAAAACGATATTAATGGCAACTAATTCTATGGAAGCAACAGATATTTTAGCGGATAGGATAGCAATTATTACAAATGGAATAATCGAATGTTATGGTTCAAAAATGTACTTAAATCGACGATATGGTATATAGATTATTTTATTTATTATCTTTCTATAAATATTTTTTCAGATTGATATCGTCAAAAGCAATTTTATCGAATTATCGTATTTTTATAGGGATTGGATACATTTTAAGTTTAGTGGTACATGAAAATTATAATCTACACCTTCTGCAAACAGAAATACAAAAATTTTCTTCCGAAATAATCACTTTGCGAGGTATAATGGGTTTGGTAATTAGATTTGATGTACCAAGAAACAGCAGGTTTACGAAATTATTACAATATCTTAACAATAACAAGCAAAGGTTGAATATAGTGTCTGTTACTTTCACTACTGCTAGTATTGAGGGTCAGTTTTTAAGGTGTGTTGCAATATTTGTCAAAAAAGAAATAAATAAATAAAATATGACAAAAAAAAAATATATAGGTTACAAACTTTGAACATGTCATTTTTAGAATAAGTCTTGCAAGTCAATTCAAAGAACGTGGTGTAAAATATCCTAGTAAAGAATATGAACTCATTGTTCAACAAAGAAGACAAAATATTTTACGAAATGGTAAAATATTTATAGGAATTCATATAATATTTATACGATGAGATCACATTTTAATTTTTAGCCAAACCTTGGGATCGACTTTCAGGAACGGTATTATGGTATCAACAAATTTTTGCTATGTTTTTTAAGAAATTTCTACATGTTACTTCATCTTGGAAATTGTATCTATTATCTGTAAGTTTCACATGTCTATCATTTTAATAAGTTTAGACGATTTTAACTTTTATTATTTATATATAGATAAGTTTGGCTACAATCACGTTAATATTAGCAACGATGATCAACGAGCTTAGTAATTGTATAATTTTTGATACAACGTAAGTAATTTATTAAATAATCAAAATGATAAAATAAACAGTATTTCTAAAGATTAATTTCTTGATGAATCAATAGGGGAAAAACGATGAGTTTAAAAGATTATGTCGATAGTAATTTTAAAACATTATATTATGCAGCCGACAGTACACTTGCTAACAAATTTCTTGTTACTCTTTACAAAACTAGTCGTTCATATAACGAGAAAGGAACATATTACGTGTTGAGAACCATCCCAGCATCAGAGATCATGACTAATCCGAATCTTCACTCTATAAAAGTTCGTACTAAATTACAATTATTTTCTATCATTTAAATATTAATATGATAATGTAAAAAAGAATGTAACATTTGATATATTATTAACAGTTCAAAGATCGTTGTTTAATGTCTGTCGATATACAATCCGATGGATCTATTGATCTTATGTATTCTTCAACTTTCGTACATAGTGGACCTGTTGCGTTAAATTTATTAAACAATGCGATACTACGTCATTATTGTGGTTCTAATAAATGTAATATTGAATTAAAGAATCATCCTTTGATCCATCCAAAGAAAGTAAGGAACGAAATTTAATTGTACTTTTTCAAAAATTATACTACTGTCCAAAGTAACAGTTAAATTGTTTATCAAAAAAAAGAAAATATATATATATATTAAGTTTAAAGTTCAAATATAAATAATACTTTATAATAATAAAAAGAAATAATATTTACAAGCATGATTTAAAATATAATTGTTTTAACTCCTGATGATAGGCAATTTAGTAATACAGATTAGTAATACAAATTATTTACAGATTATTAGTAATACAAATTTATTTTACCGACATTTAATATGTTGAACATCTTTATCGATAAAATAGTATATCGATAATACTTAGTGGCAATGTAAAGTATTGATAAATATTATCAATAGAAAGTTAAAAAAAGATGTTTTACTGGTAAAAATTTGTTGCAAATAATGTTATCGACTGTACATAAAGTATTGCACCAGGTTTAAAATTAATAATTAAATCTATTACTAATAATAATAATAATAATAATAATAATAATAATAATAATAATAATTATAATATATATTTATAGTTTATATATATATATAACAAAAATTAATTGTATTAATTTTATTCAGTGGCACCATCAATTTGTACATTCTCGAAACATAAGAAACTGGCAGAACGCTGCAATTATCGGAACTCTATTTCTTCTCTTACCTACGATCGACTTAGGGATAAAAGAATTAAATTCATTATCAAAAATGTTGCAAATCAATACAGTAGGCGTATCGACTTTGATGTATTGGATACCTATCTATATTATAGATCTTTTGATATATATAATTACAGTATTAATTCTTGCAGCATTCTTCCTTGTTATATATAATGAAGAGATATTTCTGGACACTGACATTGGTAATATAATTATAATTATAAATAAATATTTTATATTATATTTTATTAATATAATTTCTTTAATTTTCGTTCAAATATTTCAATTTAATAATATATTTCAGTTCAAGTACTTTATATTTTTTTGTTCTACGGTGCTTGTGCGATCCCATTCAACTATTGTATACAATTATTCACAAAGAAACAACAAAATGTTTATTTGATTGTAATATTAATAAACATTTTTGTGAGTGAGTGATCATTATTATTTATATTATTCAAAATAATTTATATTATATTTCTTAATAATTTATTAATTTTTATTATAGTATTATTATTAAATGGATTTTTTATATTTCCCATATTTTATACATTTGATCATTATGGACGATATTTATTCGAATTATTTTTGCATATTATTCCATCTTACAATCTAGCATGTGCTCTAAGTAATTATCTTATATTGAATTTATACAACAAAAAATGTAGTAAAAATACTTGTGACACTGAAATTAGTATCGAAGATCCATGTTGTCGTGAGTAATGAAATATTATAATTATTTTTACGAAGTCTAATCAAAATTTGGTAATATTTTTCGGATGTTTTTAGAAAACTGTGGTGAAAAAATGTGTTTTAAATCATTAAATACCATGTTAACTAGACAGTCTGGTCAAGATTTTTTCCATTCAGTGTTTGACGATTTAATAATAATGTTATCGATGACAATCGCTTTACATTTAATATTACAAATTTTCGAAGAAGCGAATCGTTTAAAGTGGTACAGATCTATCGTATCATATGAAAACAATAACAATACATTGGAATTAACCGTAATCAATGAAAAGAAACAAGTAGAAAAACACATGAAATGTAATTATGTTTTTAATTGTTAACATAATATGATAATGATTTAAACATGTACATAGTTACACATAGCATAAAACACATACATATGCGCACACGCGCGCGCGCGCACACACATAGAGACAGACACACCCACACGTATATATATATATAATACTTTCAGTTTACAAAGAAAATCAATGTCTTCCTAAACACGTTGTGTTAGCAGCTAAAAATTTGACAAAAATATACGGGAAAGCTAAAGTTGTTCAAAACGCCAATTTCAACGTAAGCATTAGAAAAGATTAGAATAATTTAAACTGATAAAAAAGCATAATAATATTCTGTTAGGTATATCAACGAGATTGTTTTGGTCTTTTGGGACTTAATGGTTCTGGAAAGTCAACAATTTTTAAAATGTTAGTTGGACAAACAAGAATGTCTGTTGGAAAAGCTGTTATATATGAATATGAATTTCTAAAGAATTTAGAAATGGTGAGAATCTAAATTCTAATCTCAAATTAGGTATTGATAGATATATGACAAAAAATTGTTTACTTTTTTCCTATACTTATAAGTTAAAGATATCTATCGTCTAACGATAACTATCCTCTAACGAATAAGTTAACGGTCTCTATATTTCTAGTATAACAATATAGATATTTCAATAATATAAAAGAATCATTTCAAAGTTCATAGGTATGATAGGATATTGTCCGCAAGTCAGTGGTTTGAACAATTTCATGACAGGAAGGCAACATTTGATATTATATGCAGCTCTTCGTGGTGTACCTTCTGAAAATTTAATAGATGAAGTCAATAAATGGATAGATCTATTAGGTAATACAATTTCTAGTTCATTTTTTAATATACATATACTAAATTATAATCTTATGTGCATATTATGTATGTTATTTAATTTTATATTTATTATAGTAAATATAATTTATTTATTTAATTGAATGTTGCCTATCATCAGGCGCGAAATTACAAATCATATAAAAAATAAAAAGTTATAAAAATTTTGCTTAGTATATCCTCGATGCGTAAAAAATATGCTATATAATATATAGCATGGCAAATTCTTATAGTAGAAATACGGAAATACATTTCTATTGTACGAATACTTATTTCCCTCATTGTATATACATATATAACAGCGTTTTTTCAATCTTGTATGTTTTTCGTATGTTTATATATATATATATAAATTAAAATTATCGTCAAAACGAAATTAACTTGCAGATCTTTTGGGGTTTGAAAATGTGAAAATTAGAAATTGTTCCTGGGGTATACAAAGGAAGATTTCTATTCTCCAGAGTTTGATTGGTGATTTGCCATTGATACTGCTAGATGAACCATCCTTGGGAATTGACGCAATTGCTAGACAAGCTATATGTGATGTATTGTATCAGATTCGAGAGATGGGAAGATCATTGTTAATTATCACGCACAAGTATTTACATTTTCATCTGTTATTAAAAAAAAAAAAAAAAAAAAAAGAAATTATCAATAGTTAAATGAAGTGAATATAAATAAATAAATAAATTTAGTATGCAAGAAGCTGAGGCAATGTGTATTCGTGTTGGAATCTTAGTGGACGGACGATTTGTAGTAATTGATTCCTGTGAAAATTTAAAAAAAAAACATGATAATAATTTCATTCTAACCATTAGTGTAACGCCAGTATTTCAAGATCCTCAACATTTAGTAATAATTAACAATGTCATGAACGAGGCATTTCCTGGTATTAATTTAAAAGATTTTCATTTGGTAAATAATTTAGAATTTATTTGTTTTATAAAATATACTATTATTGACAGTCATTAAGTTTTCAAATTGAGAATTATGGTTCCTTTTTTTTTTTATTAACTCTTTTAGGGAATTATCAAGTATGAATTAGAAAGTAATATTTCACACAGCAATGTGTTCGACATATTAGAACAACTAAGACGAAGATACCCGTGGATAACAGATTTTACTATAAATCAATCATCGATGGATCAAGTTTTTCTCGATTTAGCTATAAAGAATGATTCAATTATTCAAAAACAAATATTTCGGAGAACAAAATTCTTGAATTTTTTGAAGCGTTTTAAACAAAGAAGCAAACCTAGAGCTTCAATTTTTACAAATTCATAAGATGTTCAAAATATATACATACATACATAAATATATATTTACATTGAATGCAATTGTATTAATAAAAATGAACGTCATAAATTAACTCGATTTCGTTGAATAATCACATAAAAAAAAAGATCAAATGGTCACATGATCATTTCCTTATTTTTTTTTTTTCTATTCGTTTGTTTAACATCTTTTTGTTTATTTTTTTTCATACGAATATTATGTGTTTTCTCGTCTTTTTTTTTTAATGTCTTATGTGCCAATTCAATATCTTCCAATAATTCCTTTGTTTGTACTTCATTAAATTGTTCATCTTCGTTATCATCGGTGTTCGAAGAATTATTATCATTTTCTTTCGAAATATTTGTCATTGTTGCCTTTGATTTTATTTTCGTTGGGAAGGTTATAATCTCACTAATCTCTGAACAATGTGTATTGTATAATTTTGTTTGTACGTTGCCTGAAATCGGTGTACTACTTAAGATTTTATCAAGATTAATTTCCGTTGTTACCATCGGAGGTTCTTTATCTTCTATCGGTACAATAGATTCTGTTATTGACTTCATAGAAACTATCATTTTCTTATTAGATTTGTTTACATTGTACGAAGCTGTTTTATCCTTAATATCCGTTGTTTTACTTTTATCAGTTTTTTTAATATTATCTTTGAACAAATTTTCGTCTGAACATTTTGTTATCGACGAAGATCCACTTAAATTTTTTTCATTAAGATTTTTCTTACCCTCTGTTGGAGTATCTGTGACAGCTTTTACAGATGGTTTGTTAAAATCTTTTTTTAATTTGTTTTTACTGACTGAAATTTTTTTGTCCGCTTTGTCATCCTTCTCAGTAATATTTAAACTGCTATTTAATTCTTTTGCGAGTAATTTCGTTTGTCTGGAGATCGATTGACGTTTTGGTCTGTTTTCAATTTTTTCGCCATCCTCGATACACTTGGCGGATCTTTTAGGCGTATTTTTTCTATCAACAAATTTCTTTTTCGAATTGTCAAAAACATTGAGTTTATCGAAATCTAAAATCGTTTCTAATTTTTCCTCATTTGCATCTGACTTTTGTATCGTTTTCATCGCAGCCAACTTTTTGTCCTCTTTCTTCGTATTTTTGTTTCTTTTCTTTTTTCCAATGTTTTTGAGCATTTCAGTTGAATTTAAATTTTCTTCGACATTTTTATTTTTTTTATCATTCAATTTTGATCGTTCCTCATACTCCTCCAAATTTGACGAGCATTTATCACTATTTTCAATTTCTGAATCGGTTAAATCATTTTCGAGATTGCTTTCCGAATTTATTTTCTTTTTTTTCTTTTGATAATCTCTTTTTGTTTTTCTCAATGTACTATCTTCATCTTGTTGAGACTGTATATCCAATAGTTATTTAAAAAAAATAAAAATAAAAATAAATAAATAATAATAATAATAATAATATTGATAATAATTTATATAGCATACGATTTTTGTTTTAATTTTAATTAAATAAATAAATAAACATATATAAATGTTTAATTATATTTTAACGTAATGAAAACGTTCTCAAAAAATTTATAATATGAAATAAAATAAACAAATGAATAAATAAATATATATATATATGTGTGTATATGTACCATCGATGGCATATTATTGTTATCAGGATCTTTAGATATTTTCGGCCAATGAAAATAGCAATTATTATTAATCATTTTTTCAAATGCATCTCTTAAGTTGAGCTTTTTTAATGGTTTAAAATATTTATTTAGGTTTCGAATAATTTCTTCCGACAAAGGTTCATCGTCCCTTTGTTCAGTGCTTATTACATATGGAAATGTTTCATTAAATTTATAGGCCATAAACAGAGTAACGTTATATGTTTCACTAAGTTCGATCAATTGTAATTCTGACATGTGTAAGTGAATTCGTGTGTATCCAAGACAGGTGTCTATGGAACAGTTTATTACATCTCCGAGAAAATTCTAAACACAAAGACCCATTGATTGTTACTTTTATAATTATTAATTAAATAAATTAAAAAAAAAAAAATGTTTCGATTATACATAACCTTTAAATCATAGTATTGTTTTCGACGATAGGTATAACAATCGATGTAATGTTTGCAAGATTTTAAAAATGATTTCAAATTATTCGGATTATCCAATGGATATTTTGATAAAATATCATTCAAATCGATCGACAAAGGCATCACCCATTTTCCTAATTTATATTGATTATCAATTTGCAAAATTTCTATGGAAAATAAAGAATTACTCGTCACTTTGTCTCCTGCTGAGAATTCTATCACAATTGGCTTATCAGATTTGACACAGTAAATTCCAGCAAATCTGTATAAATCATTTCTCAAATTAATGTTCGTATATTTGTTTTTTATTGAAATTGAAGATGATTTCAAAACATGTCTACAATAATCCAATTGTTTGTTCAATCCGGTTGTCGTCAATGATTGTTCGATTATTTCTTTTTCTAATTGTTCTTTTAATGCCTTAACTTCAAGGATATCAGCTGTCAAAGGACATCATTTTTATTTTTTTTAAATATGTTTCTTACACTTCTATAAATTTATTATTATTATTATTATTGTTATTACTATTACAACTACTATTATTATCACTTGAGATTATTTTTTCTGAAATTTTCTTTTTTCTTAAATTTGAATGAAAAAAATTGTTACTGTTTTACCTTCAGTAGTTAGTTCAGGTAAAGTTTTCCGAAATTCCTCCGAAGATTGATTAGTATTTTTTTTATTAAATGTATTGTCTATTTCATTATCCGACATTATTGTTTAAAATAATAAATTTATTATTAATTTTCGAGATTTTCATCAATGTAATTAGAATGAATTGAAGGCACATAAATAGAACGCACTTTATTTAATATTTATGGGCTATCTTTTTATTATAAAATTGTAAAATCAATAAACCTATATCTCTTCATAAGCATCTTCTAATCTACTATTTCGATTAATATTACGATCGATTTCCTTGTATATATATATATATATATATATATATATATATATATATATATATACTTTGACCTTTTAAACTTCAAAACACAAAACAAATTGACATTCAAAACTAAAAAAAAAACAAGTAATAATAGAAATAAACTTTTAATAAATTTTATAAGTTTTAATTCAAGATTTATATATTACAAAGTAAAAAATTAATGAACGTTCGATATATATATATATATACGAATTAATTAACGATAGTTCGATAAATATATATATTTTTTTATATTTGTTAGTTTATTAAACAAGAAATTTATCGCTAATGATAAGTTAATTTTCTTTCTACATTATTCTACGACATTTTTCTTTTTTCGGATATTTCGATTTCGAATAAATTTAATATCGAAAAGGAATAATAAAAATTAAATTTTTCTAAATAATAATTATATTTGAAAAATAATATTATTTTTCAAATATCTGATTAAACGACTAATCAACAAGAAATATCAATCAAGATGGCAGCAACGAATGTGAACAAATGACAGCTAGCACCTGCCACTACTGTACGTTATAAAATTTACTATTATCCATAGGTGGCTGTAACTACGTTAAAGTATTTTACAAAATATAAATTAATGTAAACATTCTGTATAAATTTAATTTTATGGAACGTATACAAGAATAATAAATTTATTCGTTCCTCTATATCATATACTTAAACTTTGGGTTAAGTTAATAGGTTAGAAATTTATAGGTAAGTTAACTTCCACTTATTCCTTTTAATTATGCTAATATTGTTGGCTCAAATGGTGGAAATCATTCTACGAATTCTTTTTTTTTTTTATATTTAATATAATAGAAAAGTATGATGACTCTCTTTTATAAATTTTCTTTCTTTCTTTGTTTATATCACAGAATGCTGGGAAAATTGAATACAAATTAAATGTATGTTTGTGTGTATGTGAATTCTTTTGGAACGAGAAAAAAATATGTAACTGTACGAAAAAAAAGTTGCTTATTAAATTCAATCGTTAACATTTTAATGTAAGTACTACAATAAGTAATACGACATTAAGACGAATTGTTATTTCTTGCATTATCATACAATGCTATTACACATGTGATTATTTTATTCGATTGAAATATTTCAAAAATTCATCAAAATGATACATTACGGACCTTGGATTCATCAACAAGCTATCTTAGATAACCATCAGTATTATGCTCCATATATCACTGTGATGCCACAATTTCAACATCGTAATCAAGAACAACAAGATTTGGATGAAGAAGAAAGCGAACAAACTGGAGATGAAACGCATGATACAATGACTTCTGCTACATCAGGAGAACGCAGTTCTAGTGCTGATCTTTTCAGATTACAATTCGCAGCAACGCAATGGTCTAAGTTAGTTTCTAATGCGGAAGGATTATTTAATAAACTTATGACAAGCAATATCTTACCACATACAGAACAAGATCAAATTGAGCAATGGCTTTGTATGAAGCAGGAATATGAAGAATGTATTACCAATGACGATGCAACTAGTTTACATGGTTTTCCTGAAAATACAAGAAAATCTTTAGAAAGAATCGAAGAGGTAACAGAAACAGATGAGAAAACAGACGAATCTATAAATAGAGCAGAATTGAAAAATAATTCGAATAGTTCATCAGTCACTGATAGTGATATATCAGAGCCTGAAGAAGACGATGAGGACGAAGACGATCATAGCGATGTAAGCTCAGAAAGTCCAGACTTTTTAGAAAAGCTCGATGAATGTATGAATAAATTAAAAATGGATACAGATACAATTGTTGAATCCAAAAAAGATGTATTTAGAGAAATGAACATAGAAATCATTCCAAATATGATAAAATCTATAAATACGAATAATAATTACGTTTCCTTAGCGAAACCGATTCCTGCTAGAAATCCAAATTCCAGGCGAAATTCTATGCTTCCAGGTTCTGAAATGTGTAATGAAGTACTAGCTTTTAATGATAATTTTAAACCATATCAAAATCATATGCTTAATAAAAAAGCCACTC